ATGATCCAATATTTCTAAAGCCATACAAACCTATCACTACCATTGAATTTGTTCCATGTACAAGTTAATATTGTAAGAAAATTTTTAAATCTTTAAAGTGTTATTTGCAAAGTTCCTAAAAACAAACAAACTCCTACGAAGTGCAATTAAATAAGATGTAGAACATGATCATACATTCTGAAATTTTCGTGTTTTTCGAATTAAAAGATATTTTTTGGAAATTTAAAATATAGTAACTAATTTATGTGGAGAGTTTGGATACAGTTAAATACTAAAAACTTGGTCTATTTGAAAACTTTAAACTTTAATCTTTTTTTAAAGAATTTTATATTTTTTGAACGCTTTCTATAAAAAGGTGCCAAAAAATTAAAAATTTTTAAATATTGCACGTTTTAATGACAGTGATCTATGAAAGATTAATATATTTTTTGCATAAAATTTTTGGCTATAAATAAATAAGGGACCAGAAAGCGTATTATGAACCCATCCTTACAAAATTTGGTAATGAGATTTTGGATCCTATGAAACTTGTTTGTGTTGATTTTCATCACTATACTTGTATTTTAGACTGTTGTATGTATTTTGTTCTTATAAACTTGTTTATGACGAATTTCACCACTATGCTAGTATTGCCTTTTGAGCGTTAAAGCGTGGGGATCTAATATTGGGGGATAGGATCAATTATGAGCCGACCATCACCAAATTTGGTAAAGTTATTTTTGTTCCTGTTTGTGTTGAATTTCGTCATAATACTGCTATTATTAAGCCAGTTCTGATTGTTAAATTAAAATTTGGAAGATAGATTTTTGTTCTTATACAACTTGTTTATCTCGAATTTCGTCGCTATACTGCTACTGTCAAGTCAATTATGATCGTTAGAGTAATTTTAAAGGGACCTTATATTGGGGTTGGTCAATTATGGTTCGATGTCCGCAATACATCACATAAAAAAACTTGTGCAAAATTTTATCTCGATTGCTGCCTAATTAATATATGTACATAACTATGACACTTTATACTGTATTATGGCAAATGCCTTTTAAATGATATCACTGTCGCCCCACTCTAATAAACTTTTATATCTTTATATAACAAGTGTTAAAAACGCATTCGAGTGACCCACAAAAATTCATTTGTAATGTTTTAATAATGAAACATTTTGTGGCTCTTTTAAAACCCATGTTTTGTAAACTGTAAGTTTTGGCTCTTACAACTCAAAAGTTTGCCGACCCTGGGAACTAGACTATACTAGACTATAGTATAGACTAGACTATAGACTAGACTATAGACTAACTATAGACTAGACTATAGACTAGACTATAGACTAGACTATAGACTAGACTATAGACTAGACTATAGACTAGACTATAGAACTAGACTATAGACTAGACTATAGACTAGAACTATAGACTAGACTATAGACTAGACTATAGACTAGACTATAGACTAGACATAGACTAGACTATAGACTAGACTATAGACTAGACTATAGACTAGACTATAGACTAGACTATAGACTAGACGATAGACTAGACTATAGACTAGACTATAGACTAGACTATAGACTAGACTATAGACCAGACTATAGACTAGACTATAGACTAGACTATAGACTAGACTATAGCTAGACTATAGACTAGACTATAGACTAGACTATAGACTAGACTATAGACTAGACTATAGACTAGACTATAGACTAGACTATAGACTAGACTATAGACTAGACTATAGACTAGACTATAGACTAGACTATAGACTAGTACTATAGACTAGCCCTCTATAGACTAGACTATAGACTAGACTATAGACTAGACTATAGACTAGACTATAGACTAGACTATAGACTAGACTATAGACTAGACTATAGACTAGACTATAGACTAGTCTATAGACTAGACTATAGACTAGTCTATAGACTAGACTATAGACTAGTCTATAGACTAGACTATAGACTAGACTATAGACTTGACTTTAAACTAGTCTAACTACTAGACTATATACTAAAATATAGTCGGGATTAAAGATTAAACTGGTAGACTGCAATCTAGACTATAGTCTCGACTATAGACTAGACTATAGTCAAAACTATAGTCTGAGCTTAAAACTAGACAATAGTTAAAACCATATTCCGAACTATAGAAAGACTATAGACAAAATTATAGTCTGAACTATAGACTTGACTGTAGTCTGGGCTATAGACTAAATTAAGGACAAGACCATTGTACACACTACAGGCTAACTAATAGTCTGGACTATAGGCTATTTTCTGGGCTATTAACTAGTATGTGTTTACTCCGTTACCAACCAATTGCCTGCATTTAGTACCATATTTGCCTATGAAGTGGCAACCAAAGTTAAAATGCAAATCAAAACATGTTAAAAGAGAACCTAGTAGCACTAAAGCAATTTATACAAATTACCATGGGTGTTGGTGACTGATTGGTGGTTGCTCTTTTCAAAACTACATAATCAATATGCTGACACAATAATTACATTTATGTTAAAAGTATTTAAATTAAATTATTTACAAATGTAGGCATTTCTTTTCTATTATAAATAATTTAATATTTATTATGTGTGTGCTATTTTGAATTCAATGATTTAAATAAGTAAATAGTAGTTATGGAATAATTTTTTGTTTCAATTAATTGGAACATAAAACCAATTAACAGTGCAATTAACATTATACATATTTTTAATATGTACATATGTATGTATGTATTTTATGGATTTTTATAAACAATCTAAAATCTTTAGTAGATTTAGTACTAAATTCATTATTATTATATTTTGATTATTTTCGTTAATTACAGTACAAAACCATTGCCTTGGGTATTTAAACATTTTTAATACAATATTTGTTGGTAGGGGATTTATAGACTAGTTTTTTATTTGTAATATTTGATATGTCAAAAAATTCCTTGTAAATAATTTGTTTGGTTTACAATTAATCAATGTTTTTACTGTTTTAACATCTTAAGCAGAGGGTTGTACAATAATATTTTGTAATAGGGGGGAGTCGTTTTGATGATGTTGCAGCTGTTTATATTCTTGTTGTTGCCTTTAAAAGAGTGAACCGATTTTGTAGCTTAAGTGTATATGTAGTACTTGGAACGTTCTCTGTAAGGTTAAAATTCTCTGGACCTTCTATAAGTCTAGTCTATAGTCTAGTCTATAGTCTAGTCTATAGCTAGTCTATAGTCTAGTCTATAGTCCTAGTCTATAAGTCTAGTCTATAGTCTAGTCTATAGTCTAGTCTATAGTCTAGTCTATAGTCTAGTCTATAGTCTAGTCTATAGTCTAGTCTATAGTCTAGTCTATAGTCTAGTCTATAGTCTAGTCTATAGTCTAGTCTATAGTCTAGTCTATAGTCTAGTCTATAGTCTAGTCTATAGTCTAGTCTATAGTCTAGTCTATAGTCTAGTCTATAGTCTAGTCTATAGTCTAGTCTATAGTCTAGTCTATAGTCTAGTCTATAGTCTAGTCTATAGTCTAGTCTATAGTCTAGTCTATAGTCTAGTCTATAGTCTAGTCTATAGTCTAGTCTATAGTCTAGTCTATAGTCTAGTCTATAGTCTAGTCTATAGTCTAGTCTATAGTCTAGTCTATAGTCTAGTCTATAGTCTAGTCTATAGTCTAGTCTATAGTCTAGTCTATAGTCTAGTCTATCTCTAGTCTATAGTCTAGTCTATAGTCTAGTCTATCTAGTCTATAGTCTAGTCTATAGTCTAGTCTATAGTCTAGTCTATAGTCTAGTCTAGTCTATAGTCTGGTCTATAGTCTAGTCTAGTCTATAGTCTAGTCTAGTCTATAGTCTAGTCTATAGTCTAGTCTATAGTCTAGTCTATAGTCTAGTCTATAGTCTAGTCTATAGTCTAGTCTATAGTCTAGTCTATAGTCTAGTCTATAGTCTAGTCTAGAGTCTAGTCTATAGTCTAGTCTATAGTCTAGTCTATAGTCTAGTCTGTAGTCTAGTCTATAGTCTAGTCTATATTCTAGTCTATAGTCTAGTCTATAGTCTAGTCTAGAGTCTAGTCTATAGTCTAGTCTATAGTCTAGTCTATAGTCTAGTCTATAGTCTAGTCTATAGTCTAGTCTATAGTCTAGTCTATAGTCTAGTCTATAGTCTAGTCTATAGTCTAGTCTATAGTCTAGTCTATAGTCTAGTCTATAGTCTAGTCTATAGTCTAGTCTATAGTCTAGTCTATAGTCTAGTCTATAGTCTATAGTCTAGTCTATAGTCTAGTCTATAGTCTAGTCTATAGTCTGGTCTATAGTCTAGTGTATAGTCTAGTGTATAGTCTAGTGTATAGTCTAGTGTATAGTCTAGTCTATAGTCTAGTCTATAGTCTAGTCTATAGTCTAGTCTATAGTCTAGTCTATAGTCTAGTCTATAGTCTAGTCTATAGTCTAGTCTATAGTCTAGTCTATAGTCTAGTCTATAGTCTAGTCTATAGTCTAGTCTATAGTCTAGTCTATAGTCTAGTCTATAGTCTAGTCTATAGTCTAGTCTATAGTCTAGTCTATAGTCTAGTCTATAGTCTAGTCTATAGTCTAGTCTATAGTCTAGTCTATAGTCTAGTCTATAGTCTAGTCTATAGTCTAGTCTATAGTCTAGTCTATAGTCTAGTCTATAGTCTAGTCTATAGTTTAGTTTATAGTCTAGCCTATAGTTTAGTTTATAGTCTAGCCTATAGTCTAGTATATAGTAGTCTAGTCTATAGTATAGTCTATAGTGTAGTCAGTAGTTTTGTCTATAGTATTTACTATATAGTCTATAGTCAACGGTTTTATATCTGTGCTTCAGTATCGGTTGCAAAATTTTTTCATCTATTAAATGGCGCCACCAGTTGTGCTCCTCTGTAGTTTAAATCAAATTCTTAGGCTCCCCCATGGCTACAACAGATATAATACAAGTTGTTTCTATATGTATAAATAACTATATAATTTTCATTATTTAAAATTGTTTTTTTTTTTTGTATCTTTCAATTTCGTTACAGTTTATCAAAAGACCTCAAGCAACAATAGCAACAACAACTACAAAAAGAGCAATATAATAATACTTGATTTAACCATTATTTAGTTCAACGAAAAAAAAAATAATAATATTAAAGACGAAAGAGAAGAGACAACAAGATTATATAATAAATATTAATAACAACAAAAAAACGACTATACACCAAAATCATTTATAGTATAACCACTGAAAGCAGACCGGACCAGACCTACCACACCAGATTTTAAGTACATACATGCAACAGTTTGTTATACGACTAGGAACATATTTTGAAACAAAAGCAACAAAACCATTTTTAACCCAAGGGGCCTTCATCTTCTTCAACCACAAGTGCTCCTTCTTCTCCTACTTATTTATTTTCATGCTTAAAAACATACAAACACTTATAAATGTTTAACTAACAAAACAAGAACAACAACTTTGGCTGTGGTAAAAGTTTTATGTATGGACACTTAAAGGTAAGATTTCCACCTCCTACTTAGGAAAACAATAAAACACACTATTAAAATACATACTTGGAAAATGTACGTATATAGAATTTATAATATGTTCTTTATTTTTCAGACAAAATGGGTGACAATATAATTGGTTCGGCCAGCTTTTTGCATTTGGGTGATATTGTTTCACTCTATGCCGAAGGTAGTGTGTGCGGTTTCTTAAGTACTTTAGGGTAAGATTTCATTCTTTAATATTTAATGGCTTTTTTAATATTTGAAAAATAAAAAGAAACTTAAATTAAAATTAGATTTTTTCCTTTATTTAAAACAGTTTGGTTGATGATCGTACTGTTGTGTGTCCGGAGGCAGGTGACTTAAATTATCCTCCCAAAAAGTTTAGGGGTAAGTTTGTTGACCTGTTATGAATTTATAGTAAATATAAAAAAATTATATTTTTTGCAGATTGTTTGATTAAAGTATGTCCTATGAATCGTTATTCGGCCCAGAAACAATTCTGGAAAGCCGCCAAACAATCAGCCAGCTCGAATACAGATACAAATTTATTGAAAAGATTACATGTGAGTAAATATTTTTATTCTTTTTAGTAACTTATTTAGTCTATAATCTTCTTAGTTAAGATTTTTATTTGGTATATAGATTTTAATATAGTCTAGTCTATAGTCTAGTCTATAGTCTAGTCTATAGTCTAGTCTATAGTCTAGTCTATAGTCTAGTCTATAGTCTAGTCTATAGTCTAGTCTATAGTCTAGTATATAGTCTAGTCTATAGTCTAGTCTATAGTCTAGTCTAGAGTCTAGTTATAGTCTAGTCTATAGTCTAGTCTATAGTCTAGTCTATAGTCTAGTCTATAGTCTAGTCTATAGTCTAGTCTATAGTCTAGTCTATAGTCTAGTCTATAGTCTAGTCTATAGTCTAGTCTATAGTCTAGTCTATAGTCTAGTCTATAGTCTAGTCTATAGTCTAGTCTATAGTCTGGTCTATAGTCTAGTCTATAGTCGAGTCTATAGTCTAGTCTATAGTCTAGTCTATAGTCTAGTCTATAGTCTAGTCTATAGTCTAGTCTATAGTCTAGTCTATAGTATAGTCTATACTCTAGTCTATAGTCTAGTCTATAGTCTAGTCTATAGTCTAGTCTATAGTCTAGTCTATAGTCTAGTCTATAGTCTAGTCTATAGTCTAGTCTATAGTCTAGTCTATAGTCTAGTCTATAGTCTAGTCTATAGTCTAGTCTATAGTCTAGTCTATAGTCTAGTCTATAGTCTAGTCTACAGTATAGTCTATAGTATAGTCTATAGTCTAGTCTATAGTCTAGTCTATAGTCTAGTCTATAGTCTAGTCTATAGTATAGTCTATAGTCTAGTCTATAGTCTAGTCTATAGTCTAGTCTATAGTCTAGTCTATAGTCTAGTCTATAGTCTAGTCTATAGTCTAGTCTATAGTCTAGTCTATAGTCTAGTCTATAGTCTAGTCTATAGTCTAGTCTATAGTCTAGTCTATAGTCTAGTCTATAGTCTAGTCTATAGTCTAGTCTATAGTCTAGTCTATAGTCTAGTCTATAGTCTAGTCTATAGTCTAGTCTATAGTCTAGTCTATAGTCTAGTCTATAGTCTAGTCTATAGTCTAGTCTATAGTCTAGTCTATAGTCTAGTCTATAGTCTAGTCTATAGTCTAGTCTATAGTCTAGTCTATAGTCTAGTCTATAGTCTAGTCTATAGTCTAGTCTATAGTCTTGTCTATAGTCTATAGTCTAGTCTAGTCTAGTCTATAGTCTAGTCTAGTCTAGTCTATAGTCTAGTCTATAGTCTAGTCTAGTCTATAGTCTAGTCTATAGTCTAGTCTATAGTCTAGTCTATAGTCTAGTCTATAGTCTAGTCTATAGTCTAGTCTATAGTCTAGTCTATAGTCTAGTCTATAGTCTAGTCTATAGTCTAGTCTATAGTCTAGTCTATATTCTAGTCTATAGTCTAGTCTATAGTCTAGTCTATAGTCTAGTCTATAGTCTAGTCTACAGTCTAGTAATGAAGTTGTCGCTAACATTTGTTTACCATTTCTCCCCTTCCTCCAGCACGCTGCCGAAATAGAAAAGAAACAAAATGAAACGGAAAACAAAAAAATTCTTGGCCAACAAATTCAATACGGCAGTGTGGTACAACTGCTCCATCTCAAATCGAATAAATTTCTCACCGTTAATAAACGTCTTCCTTCACTGCTGGAGAAAAATGCCATGCGTGTCTATCTCGATGCCAATGGCAATGAGGGTTCCTGGTTCTATATCATGCCCTTCTATAAGCTACGTTCCATAGGCGATAATGTGGTCGTGGGCGATAAAGTTATTCTCAATCCCGTTAATGCTGATCAACAGAATCTACATGTAGCTGCGAATTATGAATTGCCCGATAATCCCGGATGTAAAGAAGTAAATGTCTTGAATTCGTCCACCTCCTGGAAAATCACTTTATTCATGGAACATAAAGAGAATCAAGAACATATACTCAAAGGAGGTGATGTGGTGCGTTTGTTTCATGCCGAACAGGAAAAATTCCTGACCATGGATGAGTATAAAAAGCAGCAGCATGTTTTCTTGAGAACTACCGGACGTACTAGTGCAACGGCGGCTACTTCTAGTAAAGCTTTGTGGGAAATCGAAGTGGTACAACATGATTCCTGTAGAGGTGGTGCTGGACATTGGAATTCTTTGTATCGTTTTAAACATTTGGCCACCGGTTATTATTTGGCAGCAGAGCTGGACTCTGAAAATGTCAATACATCGGCTCAGCAACAACAACAGCAGCAGCAAGTGCAGCAACCTTTGCAGCAGCAGTTAATAAATCTAAGTGGAGAAAATGCTAAAGACTCCGGAATAGGCTGTAATTCAACCATGATAGGTATGCAATCTATTTGAATTGATAAATTAAAATTACTATTTTTGAATATTTATCTCTGTTTTTAGAAAAAACAAAACTGGAGCAATACCGCTTGGTTTCGGTGCCCTTTTCCACAGATATTGCCACCGTCTTTGAACTTGACCCCACCACAATGGCACGAGCCGATAGCTTAGTGCCCCAGTCTAGTTATGTGCGCTTACGGCATCTTTGCTCCAACACTTGGGTTCATGCCACTTCCATACCCATCGACATTGATGATGACAAACCGGTAATGTCTAAAGTCTGCTGTTCGCCCATTAAAGAAGACAAAGAAGCTTTTGCTTTGATACCAGTCTCACCCGTCGAAGTACGTGATTTGGACTTTGCCAATGATGCCTGCAAAGTATTGGCCACGGTTACCGCTAAATTGGATAATGGCACTATATCGATTAATGAAAGACGTTCCTTGATTTCCTTACTGCAAGATATAGTCTATTTTATAGCCGGCATGGAAAATGAACAGAATAAAACCAAGGCTTTGGAATTGACTATAAAAAATCCCAATCGAGATCGTCAAAAATTGCTAAGAGAACAATATATTCTAAAGCAATTGTTCAAGATCTTGCAGGGTCCCTTTCAAGAGCATCCGGGCTGTGATGGACCATTTTTAAGATTAGATGAATTAAGTGATCCTAAGAATAGTCCCTATAAGAATATATTTCGTTTATGCTATCGAATTTTAAGACTGTCCCAGCAAGACTATAGAAAAAATCAGGTATGTTTAGCTTTAACAACAAATTACAAAAGAGATCCCGATTGTAAAACATGTTTAATTATTAGGAATATATAGCCAAACATTTTGGTTTAATGCAAAAACAAATCGGCTATGATATTTTAGCCGAGGACACCATTACCGCTTTGCTGCACAACAATCGCAAATTGTTGGAGAAACATATAACCGCTGCTGAAATTGAAACTTTTGTGGGTTTAGTGCGTAAAAATATGCACAATTGGGATTCCAGATTTTTAGATTATCTCTCCGATTTGTGTGTTTCCAATCGCAAAGCGATTGCTGTTACCCAGGAACTGATTTGTAAAAGTGTTTTGAGTACAAAAAATTCCGATATTTTAATAGAGACACAAGTTAAGGCCATAAAGCAAAAGAAAACGAATAATGTTAAGAAAAAAGAACATTCCCCTCTTACACCGCTGGCAGAAGATGATGAGAAAATGCCATTATTATCAACAAACACCACTTCCACCTGGGACCTAGATAGTGTGGATGAGGAGGAAGAAGTTAAATATGAAATACATTTAAAGTGGAAGGGTTTACAGGTGGGTTTTTGAAAAATAAATACAAAAAGAATTTTAAAAATTTCTTGTTTTTTTCTTCATTTAAACTTAAGGAATCTCGTTCTATGGCCGATTTAGCCAACTGTGTGGCCCAAGGCAAAGAACTGGAGGCAGCCATTTTAAATTATTATCGTCATCAATTAAATCTTTTCTCCAATATGTGTTTAAATCGTCAATATTTGGCTTTAAATAATCTTTCGCCGCATTTGGATATAGATTTGATATTAAAGTAAGTTTTTCTAGAGTTTCTTTAATGTATGGATTACTAATTGTTGGACTTTTTCCAGATGCATGTCCGATGAGTCCATGCCTTATGAATTGAGAGCCTCTTTTTGCCGTCTTATGTTACATTTACATGTGGATCGTGATCCACAGGAGCCGGTTACACCAGTGAAATATGCTAGACTTTGGAGTGAAATACCATCGAAAATGTCTATTTTAGAGTAAGTTGAATCACAAGTTTTCATTTTCTTTCAAAAGTTATGGATGTATTTCGTATTTTATAGCTAAATTATCGATAACTTTTAAGTTTTTAATGAAATGTTAACGATAACATTTTGCTCATTTAGTTTTTACTTTTTTTCTCCATTTCAGTTATGATGGTAAAAACCAACCGGCTGACTATAACAAGGAAGCAGTACGTGCCAAATTTAATACCACCATACAATTTGTTGAAAATTATTTGTGCAATGTGGCGGCCAAAGTTTGGTTATTTACCGATCAGGAGCAAAATAAATTAACATTTGAGGTTAGTTAAGACATTTTTAAAAAGTAAAAGGTATAAACGAGAAATCGATTGGAATTCATAGAAGATCCAATTATAATCAGTTAAACTCCCAATAACATTAAGATGAAAAACTTATAATATAACAATTCCATTTGTTATACCCTTCACCTTCGTGAGAAGGGTATATATAAGTTTGTCATTCCGTTTGTAATTTCCAAAATATAATTTTCCGACCCCATAAAGTCGATTAAGCCATGTCCGTCTGTCTGTCCGTCCGTCTGTCTGTCTGTCTGTCTGTCCGTCTGTCTGTTGAAATCAGTTTTCTGAAGACTCCAGATATTTTCGGGATCCAAATCTTCAATAATTCTATCAGACATGCTTTCGAGAAGTTTCCTATTTAAAATCAGCAAAACCCGTTCATAAACAACGGAGATATAAGCAAAAATCCGAGACAACCTCTGAAAAGTTCATAAAAAATAAACAACAACAACACTGCTTATTCATTGCCTTTGTATTTTGTTTTTGTTTTTTTTTGAGTATTTCGTTTCGTATGTTCGGATGGCTGTGTGTTTCATTGCCTTGTGTATATTGTTTTTGTTTTCTTGGTGGATTGAATTTCGTATGTTTGGATGTCTGTTGGTTTCATTGCGTTGTGTATTTTGTTTTTGTTTTTTTTCTTTATTTCGTTTCGTATGTTTGGATGTCTGTTGGTTTTACTGCCTTGTGTATTTTTTTGTGTGTTTATTTCGTTTAGCGTTGTTGTTGTTCATTATGTTTTGCTATTGGTATAATAATGATATAGTTGGGAAAATGAATTTTTAAATACACTATGGTGAAGGGTATGTAAGATTCGGCACAGCCGAATATAGCACTCTTACTTGTTTTATATTGCAATTGTTTTACTTTAATTTCATTACCGTTTCATTTCAGGTCGTTAAATTGGCTCGTGATTTGATCTATTTTGGTTTCTATAGCTTTAGTGATTTGCTCAGATTAACGAAAACACTTTTGTGTATATTGGATTGTGTTTCCGATAATAATATAGAAAGTTCAACAGCTTCCAATACAGGACGATTTGTAGCAGCAGATACAGATTGTAAGTACTTTTAAGAATTGATTTTCTTATAAAAGCAAAGTTCCCTTAAATACCAAAAACGCAGATTTTTATTAAAAAGATTTGAAATTACTAAATCTAACCCAAAAACCTTAAGACTTGTTTTGAAAATTTCTTATGATTAATTTTACTTTTTTAAATTGAATTTGATAAATTTGCATATTATTGGCTGGCTTATTATTTAAAATTTTAATTTTTCACAAAAAAAAAAAAAAACTATAAATAAAAAGCGGCTAATGAGGAAGAACAAGGTAAGTGAGTTTTCCAAAACTGGAATACTAAACAAAATTATAAGAAAAACAACAAAAAAACAACTCAAAACTTAAAAAAAAAACAACAACACTTTTCTAACACTTCCTACCAAAATCATACAACAAAACTACTTTCAGCCGAAGGAGGTGTTTTACGTTCCATAGGTGATATGAACACAGTCATGACTAGTTTGGCTTTGGGTTCAGTGGGTCAAGTTATGGCCACGCCCGCCATATCACTGCAACAACGTAAATCTGTGTCCCAGCTTATGAAAGAGTTCCCCTTAGTGATGGACACTAAATTGAAAATTATAGAAATTCTACAATTCATACTCGATGTACGTTTGGATTATAGAATTAGTTGCCTCTTATCGATATTCAAGCGTGAATTTGATGAAAGTGATGCCCAGCAGCAGGCTCAGGCCGAGACAGCAGCACAAAATCAAGCCAATCCCGCCGATCCACAAGCGGCCGCCCAGGCTTTTCAGCAACGTCAAAAGAATATCGATTTAGAGTCAATTGGTGTACAGGCAGAGGGTATTTTTGATTGTGATAGTGGTGATGCGGCCAATTTGGACTTGGATGGTCAGGGAGGGCGTACTTTCTTGAGAGTTTTATTGCATTTAATTATGCATGATTATCCACCGTTGGTATCGGGTGCCCTGCATTTGCTCTTTCGTCATTTCAGCCAAAGGCAAGAAGTTTTACATGCCTTTCGCCAGGTAAGTCATAAAAGGGGGAAAATTAGCAAAGAGTTTGTTAAATAGAGGAGGAATAACTAAACTCTGAGGTTCATACTTATTCTCTCTATCTGTAAAAAAGTTAATCTTCCAAAAAAAGACTAAACTCAAAATTTATCTATTTATTAAAAACCCAGAGTTGTATTATTTTTCCTCAACTTACGTTTTGTATTAATTTATTTTTTACTAAAATTATTTTGTTTCTTTTATTTTTAAAAAAACATTTTTTTATAAAATTCTTTTGCCATGCTTTCTTATCAAAACTAAAACAAATACTTGTTTCAAATTTTACTTTTATTATAAAATTAATAATTTGTTTAAATTTCAAACTTTACTTTCTTTAAAAATTCAACCAGTGGATGGGTATAGTTAGTACTATTTCTTAAGTTTTCTTTTAATTTAAATAACAGAAATCTAAAATTTATTACATCAAGAAAATATAAAATTTTCAATTCTATTCTACTAAAACATCAGGTACAACTTTTGGTTTCCGACAGTGATGTTGAGTCCTATAAACAAATTAAACATGATTTGGATATTTTAAGACAAAGTGTAGAGAAATCTGAATTGTGGGTTTATAAATCGAAAACTTCAGAGGAATTAAATACCAGTGAGTAGTTTTTTTAAAGAAATTTCTAAATATTATTTTGAATTGATTTATATTTGAAAATTATAGCTGGTGGCGATTCTACTATTGATAATGTTACTTTAAGCAACGAATATAAGGCTTCACTGTCCAGCGAACAACTAAATGAATATAAGAAAGTTAAGGAGATATTAATACGCATGAATCAGTTTTGTGTAACACCAGGTAAAGTATATAGTTCAGTTCTACTTAAGTTCTAGTTCAGATTTAGTTCAGTTCTAGTTCAGTTCCAGTTCAGTTCTAGCTCAGTTCTAGTTCATTTCTAGTTCAGTTCTAGTTCATTTCTAGTTAAGTTCTAGTTCAGTTCTAGCTCAGTTCTAGTTCATTTCTAGTTCAGTTCTAGTTCAGTTCTAGTTCAGTTCTAGTTCAGTTCTAGTTCAGTTCTAGTTCAGTTCTAGTTCAGTTCTAGTTCAGTTCTAGTTCAGTTCTGGTTCAGTTCTAGTTCAGTTCTAGTTCAGTTCTAGTTCAGTTCTAGTTCAGTTCTAGTTCAGTTCTAGTTCAATTCTAGTTCAGTTCTAGTTCAGTTCTAGTTCAGTTCTAGTTCTAGTTCAGTTCTAGTTCAGTTCTAGTTCAGTTCTAGTTCAGTTCTAGTTCAGTTCTAGTTCAGTTCTAGTTCAGTTCTAGTTCAGTTCTAGTTCAGTTCTAGTTCAGTTCTAGTTCAGTTCTAGTTCAGTTCTAGTTCAGTTCTAGTTCAGTTCTAGTTCAGTTCTAGTTCAGTTCTAGTTCAGTTCTGTCAGTTTAGTTCAGTTCTAGTTCAGTTCTAGTTCAGTTCTAGTTCAGTTTCTAGTTCAGTTCTAGTTCAGTTCTAGTTCAGTTCTAGTTCAGTTCTAGTTCAGTTCTAGTTCAGTTCTAGTTCAGTTCTAGTTCAGTTCTAGTTCAGTCTAGTTCAGTTCTAGTTCAGTTCTAGTTCAGTTCTAGTTCAGTTCTAGTTCAGTACTAGTTCAGTTCTAGTTCAGTTCTAGTTCAGTTCTAGTTCAGTTCTAGTTCAGTTCTAGTTCAGTTCTAGTTCAGTTCTAGTTCAGTTCTAGTTCGAGTTCTAGTTCAGTTCTAGTTCAGTTCTAGTTCAGTTCTAGTTCAGTTCTAGTTCAGTTCTAGTTCAGTTCTAGTTCAGTTCTAGTTCAGTTCTAGTTCAGTTCTAGTTCAGTTCTAGTTCAGTTCTAGTTCAGTTCTAGTTCAGTTCTAGTTCAGTTCTAGTTCAGTTCTAGTTCAGTTCTAGTTCAGTTCTAGTTCAGTTCTAGTTCAGTTCTAGTTCAGTTCTAGTTCAGTTCTAGTTCAGTTCTAGTTCAGTTCTAGTTCAGTTCTAGTTCAGTTCTAGTTCAGTTCTAGTTCAGTTCTAGTTCAGTTCTAGTTCAGTTCCAGTTCAGTTCTAGTTCAGTTCCAGTTCTGTTCTAGTTTAGTTCAGATCCAGCAAAAACCTAAAATTATCGCCCTTTTTTCTCCAGGTCCCTATGTTAAACCTCGCAAACATGAACAGCGTCTTTTGCGCAACGTTGGTGTCCACACAGTGGTCTTGGATCTTTTACAAAATCCCTACGATGAGAAAGATGATGTTCTCATGAAGGAGTTAATGTTTTTGGCTCATGAGTTTTTGCAAAATTTCTGTTTGGGCAATCAACAGAATCAAGTATTGCTGCACAATCATTTGGATCTATTCCTGAATCCAGGGGTAAGAATTTAATAAATTTAAAACAAATCTCCCAGTACAATATATTTCCTTTACTTTACAGATCCTAGAAGCCAAAACAGTTTGCTCCATATTCAAAGACAACTTGGCTTTATGCAATGAGGTCACCGATAAAGTGGTACAGCATTTTGTGCACTGCATCGAAATACATGGACGTCATGTAGTCTATTTGCAATTTTTGCAAACTATTGTGAAAGCTGAAAACCAATTTATACGCAAGTGTCAGGACATGGTAATGCAGGAATTAATTAATGCTGGCGAAGAAGTTCTAGTGTTTTATAATGATAAATCCTCGTTTAACCAATTTGTAACAATGATGCAAAAACAAAAATCAGCTTTAAGTGATGACAGTCCTCTAAAGTATCATGTAGAATTGGTAAAACTATTGGCCTGCTGTACCATGGGCAAAAATCTTTATACCGAAATAAAGTGCAATAATCTGTTGTCTTTGGATGATATAGTAGCCATTATTTGTAATCCAGCTTGTATACCCGAGGTTAAAGAAGCCTATGTGGATTTTCTCAACCATTGTTATATAGATACTGAGGTAGAGATGAAGGAAATCTACTCCTCTGGACATATGTGGAATTTGTTTGAGAAAAGCTTTTTGGTGGACATAAATCTGTTGATAGCTGGTGGCATTAATGCTGATAAGTCCCTTATGAATTATGTCCTTAATGGTGTTTGCACTATATTGGCCACCTTCTTTAGCAGTCCCTTCTCAGATCAATCGACCATTGTCCAGTCTAGACAAATGATATTCGTACAATTACTGCAAGCCTGTTATCGTTTATCCCAATGCAAATGGTTAAGTCTAGCTGATCGCTTTAATGTCGAAAATTGTATACGTACTTTGGCTGAGTCGGCCAAAACCAGGAGTATTGCCATACCCCTGGATTTAGAGCAACAGGTGGTGACAATGTCTAGCAAGACGGCATTGTTAACTAGACAAACTACCAAATGGCTTTTAGCCTCGAAACAGCCAAAATATGAGACACAGAATTCGGGTAATTTAATGCGATTAGATAGGTCCATTATAGAAGGCTTGCAGGATATTGTATCACTATTGGAGGAACAATTAAAGCCAGTAGTGGAAGCAGAATTGTCTTTACTGGTAGACATACTATATCGCTCGGAATTGTTATTCCCAGTGGGTACAGATGCGCGTCGTAGATGTGAGTCGGGTGGTTTTATACGCAAATTGATCAAGCACACCGAGAAGTTGTTGGAGGAAAAGGAGGAGAAATTGTGTGTTAAGGTGTTGAAAACTTTAAGAGAAATGATGGCCATAGATGTGAATTATGGTGAAAAGGGTGATAACTTAAGGAATACCTTGCTAAAACGTTATTTTGATATAAAACCTTGTAACAGCTCACGAACACCCGTGGAGCAGAAAAATGATTTAGCTGCCTTGGTTATGCCTAGCCAGGAAAGTCAGAAGCATTTGAATATGGTTACTCATGGTCCAGGAGCCAAATATTTGCAAAGAGCCGAAAAAACCTTACACGAAGTACAAAATCATTTGGATCGTGAGGGAGCCTCTGATTTGGTTATAGAATTGGTTATTAAATCTGTACACTCACCCTCTATATTTGTAGAGGCCATAGAATTGGGCATAGCTCTCTTAGAGGGTGGTAATCCCATCATACAAAAAGGCATGTTCAATAAATTCCTTAGCGGTGACTTAAATCAGCCTTTCTTCAAGGTATTCTTTGACAAAATGAAAGATTCACAGCAGGAAATAAAATCTACGGTAACGGTCAACACTTCGGATATTGCTGCCAAGGCTCATGAAAGTAAGCAGGATGTTAACTTGGAATTGGATAAAATTTCTCGTAAACATGGTGTCAAAACTAATGGTGTGGTCATAACCGAAGAACTAAGAAAAGAACTGCATAATGCTGGCCTAGCCACCGCAAGAGCCTTTAGCAATGCTCGCAATCTACATGCTGGAGAAGATTCTACTTCCCTTAACATCAACAGTCCTTTGGAGGATATATTAGCGGAGAAACTAGACAAACACAAGGATAATAAAGAAGAACGCAATAAGCTCTCCAATAAAGTTCTAGTAATGCAACCCATCTTAAGATTCCTGCAGCTGTTGTGTGAAAATCATAATCCCGATTTGCAAAATCTTTTGCGCAATCAAAACAATAAAACCAACTACAATCTGGTGTCGGAGACCTTAATGTTCCTAGATTGCATTTGTGGTTCCACTACCGGTGGTTTGGGACTTTTGGGTCTTTATATCAATGAAAACAATGTGGCTCTTATCAATCAAACACTCGAAACTTTAACGGAATATTGTCAGGGTCCCTGTCATGAGAATCAAAATTGTATAGCCACCCATGAATCGAATGGTCTGGATATTATAACCGCTCTCATTTTGAATAACATAAATCCTTTGGGTGAAAATCGCATGGATTTAGTGTTGGAATTGAAAAATAATGCCTCGAAGCTTTTGCTCGCCATTATGGAATCTCGCGGTGATAGTGAAAATGCCGAACGTATTCTCTACAATATGAATCCCAAGCAACTGGTGGAAGTGGCCTGCAAAGCTTATCATCAGGAGGAAATGATTGATGATCATGATAGTGACGATGATCCCGTAGATACTGATCATGATGATGAAGATGTTTCGGTTAGTCCGCGTGAGGTGGGTCACAATATCTATATATTGTGTCATCAGTTGGCTCAACACAATAAGGAATTGGCGGCATTGCTGAAGGCCTCCGAGGATCCTCAATCGGCGAATTTCGATGCGAAAATGAGTCAGGCTTTAATGTATTATGCCACGCATACAGCACAAATTGAAGTGAGTGGAAACCTTTTAACGTTCTCTTAAAACAAATTTAAATTTTTCATACTTTTTTAAGTCATCCGATATTAACGATCGATTTCAGTTTGAATTTTAAGATTTGATTTTTATTCATGTTTTTTTGTGATTTCTTCTAGATTGTTCGTCACGATCGTACATTGGAGCAAATTGTCTTTCCTATTCCGGAAATATGCGAGTATCTGACAACGGATACCAAAATGAAAATATTCCATACGGCCGAACGTGATGATCAAGGCTCTAAAGTGGTGGATTTCTTTGATAAGGCTGAAGAAATGTTTAACGAAATGAAGTGGCAGAAAAAGCTAAGAGGTATGAACTTAATTCATACCTAGAACAGAACTGTTCTAGTTCTGTTCTAGTTCTGTTCTAGTTCTGTTCTAGTTCTGTTCTAGTTCTGTTCTAGTTCTGTTTTAGTTCTGTTCTAGTTCTGTTCTAGTTCTGTTCTAGTTTTGTTCTAGTTCTGTTCTATTTCTGTTCTAGTTTTGTTCTAGTTCTGTTCTAGTTCTGTTCTAGTTCTGTTCTAGTTCAGTTCTAGTTCAGTTCTAGTTCAGTTCTAGTTCAGTTCTAGTTCAGTTCTAGTTCAGTTTTAGTTCAGTTCTAGTTCAGTTCTAGTTCGGTTATAGTTCAGTTCTAGTTCAGTTCTAGTTCAGTTCTAGTTCAGTTCTAGTTCAGTTCTAGTTCAGTTCTAGTTCAGTTCTAGTTCAGTTCTAGTTCAGTTCTAGTTCAGTTCTAGTTCAGTTCTAGTTCAGTTCTAGTTCAGTTCTAGTTCAGTTCTAGTTCAGTTCTAGTTCAGTTCTAGTTCAGTTCTAGTTCAGTTCTAGTTCAGTTCTAGTTCAGATCTAGTTCAGTTCTAGTTCAGTTCTAGTTCAGTTCTAGTTCAGTTCTAGTTCAGTTCTAGTTCAGTTCTAGTTCAGTTCTAGTTCAGTTCTAGTTCAGTTCTAGTTCAGTTCTAGTTCAGTTCTAGTTCAGTTTTAGTTCAGTTCTAGTTCAGTTCTAGTTCAGTTCTAGTTCAGTTCCAGTTCAGTTCTAGTTCAGTTTTAGTTCAGTTCTAGTTCAGTTCAGTTCTAGTTCTAGTTCAGTTCTAGTTCAGTTCTAGTTCAGTTTTAGTTCAGTTCTAGTTCAGTTCTAGTTCAGTTCTAGTTCAGTTATACCTCAGTTCTAGTTCAGTTCTAGTTCAGTTCTATTTAAATCCTAAATATTCTTTTCTTCCTTTTTTCTTTTAGGACAACCTTTCCTATTCTGGGTCAGCAGTTACATGTCATTGTGGAGTAATATATTATTTAATTGTGTGGTCGTTATTAATTTAATTGTAGCATTTTTCTATCCCTTCGATAACACTGTGCCTGGTGAGTTGAGATAATAACTATATAATTCCAACTTTAACATTATTCTATTTTCTATTTCCAGAACTCAGTCCACATATTTCTTTATTATTTTGGGCCATCTTGATATTTTCTTTAGTTATAGTCATTACATTACCTCGTGAATCTGGCATACGTACATTAATAGGTTCAATTATATTACGTTCGATATTTTTACTGGGACCGGAGTCAACGCTGTGTTTGCTGGGTGTGGTAACGGTAAGTAAATGAAATATTTTTAATAATTAATTCCTTAATACCTCTTCTTTTTGTAGGTCACTTTAAAAAGTGTCCATATTATAAGTATAATGGGCAATAAGGGCACATTGGAAAAGCACTTCTTTAAAATTATAACCGATTTTCAATTGTTATATCACTGCATTTATATAGTTTTCTGTTTCTGTGGACTACTATTTCATCCATTCTTCTATTCACTGCTGGTAAGTTGAGCAATGATTACATATTAATGAAAGAAATTTGCATATTGATTCCTTGTCATCTTCCTAAAAGCTTTTCGATGTTGTCTACCGTGAGGAAACCCTGGTTAATGTTATACGTTCCGTAACTCGCAATGGCCGTTCTATAGTTTTGACTGCTGTTTTGGCTTTGATTTTGGTCTATCTGTTTTCTATTATTGGTTATATGTTCTTTAGGGATGATTTCCTTGTTCCAGTAGATGTTGAAGAAGTGGAAAATGGTAAGGGAATGTTTTTTAAATTTTGTTTAATAAATTATTGTTATTTTCGTTGTTAAAGCGGTCGATGCTACGTTATCGGTTACTCCCGATGGCACGTGTCCTTCTCCAGATGATTTGCAAACTTCCAGATTAGTTGAGACTGGTGGTGGCGGTGGTGATGTTAAGGAACGTGCTTGCGACTCTTTGGTTATGTGTATTGTAACGACTCTAAATCAGGGTTTAAGAAATGGAGGTGGTATTGGTGATATTTTGAGAGCACCTTCAAGCAAGGTAAGTGCATTTTAAAAACAATTTTTGTATCTAAACTTTAATTCACAAACTAGAACAGAACTAGAACAAAACTGGAATTGAAATAGAACAGAACTAGAACAGAACTAGAACAGAACTAGACCAGAACTAGAACAGAACTAGAACAGAACTAGAAGAGAACTAAAAGAGAACTAAAAGAGAACTAGAACAGAACTAGAAAAGAACTAGAACAGAACTAGAACAGAACTAGAACAGAACTAGAACAGAACTAGAACAGAACTAGAAGAGAACTAAAAGAGAACTAAAAGAGAACTAAAAGAGAACTAAAAGAGAACTAGAACAGAACTAGAACAGAACTAGAACAGAACTAGAACAGAACTAGAACAGAACTAAAACAGAACAGAACTAGAACAGAACTAGAACAGAACAGAACTAGACCAGAACTAGAACAGAACTAGACCAGAACTAGAACAGAACTAGAACAGAACTAGAAGAGAACTAAAAGAGAACTAAAAGAGAACTAGAACAGAACTAGAACAGAACTAGAACAGAACAGAACTAGAACAGAACTAGAACAGAACTAGAACAGAACTAGAACAGAACTAGAACAGAACTAGAACAGAACTAGAACAGAACTAGAACAGAACTAGAACAGAACTAGAACAGAACTAGAACAGATCTAAAACAGAACTAGAACAGAACTAGAACAGAACTAGAACAGAACAGAACTAGAACAGAACTAGAACAGAACTAGAACAGAACTAGAAAGAACTAGAACAGAACTAGAACAGAACTAGAACAGAACTAGACAGGACTAGAACAGAACTAGAACAGAACTAGAACAGAACTAGAACAGAACTAGAACAGAACTAGAACAGAACTAGAACAGACTAGAACAGAACTAGAACAGAACTAGAACAGAATAGAACAGAACTAGAACAGAACTAGAACAGAACTAGAACAGAACTAGAACAGAACTAGAACAGAACTAGAACAGAACTAGAACAGAACTAGAACAGAACTAGAACAGAACTAGAACAGAACTAGAACAGAACTAGAACAGAACTAGAACAGAAACTAGAACAGAACTAGAACAGACTAGAACAAATAGAACAGAACTAGAACAGAACTAGAACAGAACTAGAACAGAACTAGAACAGAACTAGAACAGAACTAGAAACAGAACTAGAACAGAACTAGAACAGAACTAGAACAGAACTAGAACAGAACTAGAACAGAACTAGAACAGAACTAGAACAGAACTAGAACAGAACTAGACAGACTAGAAACTAGAACAGAACTAGAACAGAACTAGAACAACTAGAACACTAGAACAGAACTAGAACAGAACTAGAACAGAACTAGAACAGAACTAGAACAGAACTAGAACTAGAACAACTAGAACAGAACTTGAACAGAACTTGAACAGAACTTGAACAGAACTAGAACAGAACTTGAACAGAACTAGAACACAACTTGAACAGAACTAGAACACAACTAGAACTGAACATTCGAATAGCCATTTTTTATATATTAAAATCTATTTTCTTTTAGGAGGGACTTTTTGCCGCTCGTGTCATCTACGATCTACTCTTCTTCTTCATTGTCATCATTATCGTACTAAATCTGATTTTTGGTGTCATCATCGATACCTTTGCCGATCTGAGAAGTGAAAAGCAGCAAAAAGAATTGATTCTGAAAAATACCTGTTTCATATGTGGTCTCAATCGTTCGGCTTTCGATAATAAGACGGTCAGCTTCGAAGAACACATTAAATCCGAACACAATATGTGGCATTATCTCTACTTTATAGTTTTGGTTAAGGTAAAAGATCCAACAGAATTTACAGGACCCGAATCGTATGTCTATGCCATGGTTAAAGCGGGCATATTAGATTGGTTCCCACGTTTAAGGGCCATGTCTTTGGCAGCAGTTGATGCTGACGGTGAACAGATAGAATTGCGTAGCATGCAGGCACAATTGCTGGAGACCCAGATGTTAATAACAAATTTATCACAACAATTGCATGAACTGAAGGATCACATGACAGAGCAGCGCAAACAAAAACAACGTTTGGGTTTGTTGAATACAACAGCAAGTAGTTTTTTGGCCGGCTATCAATTCCAATAAATGAGTTTAGTTTGAAATTTCATAAAAAACTTCATGATTGACAATTATTTTAAAGTTTTTTTTTTCGCGCTTAAGCTGTTTTTAACTTTATTTGAAACTTTTATTTTTATTATTTTATTATATTAACAAATTGTGATCTTTAAATATTTTTAAAACAAACAAAAATAACAACTAAACAAACCTCATATTAATGACTTTTTTGTAACATTTGTTTTTTATAAAAATTTTAGTTTTTTGTTTTTTTTTTAATAATAATTATTACCTTTTTTGCAACATTGTACTTTAACTTAAAGTTTATTTGTTTGTTTTTTATTTAATTTTTTTTTTTTAAATGCACTTTGTGTTTTTGTTACTGTTATACATCTTTTACATTTAAAAATGCAACTGTTATACAACTGTTATACAATTTTATTCTACTAATAAGCATTTAACTTTACTATATAAAAACTAAAAAGCAAACAAAACATTATTTAAATTGTAAACTATCCAAAAAAATTAAAAATTAACAACTATTTAATCGAATGAGTAATTTTATTAAATGTTTGCAAAGAATAATTAAAGAAATAAGAATGTAATACGTCTAGCAGAAAGTAAAGTAAATTGAAGAATATAGTAGTCATAAATTAATATGCAATACACGTTATATTAAGAATAAAAAGCACTATATACAAACAAAAAAACCATAATTAATTTAAAGAAAATTAAACAGAATTTGTCAAAAAGGTAAGAACAATAACTTTTTTCTATTAATATTTATTCAAATCTCCTTAAATGTCTAAATTTCCCACCATAATTTATACCCTTTATATTCACATACTTTAGGCTTAATTAAAAGAATTATATGAATCATTCTGTTTGCTTTTTATTTAGCAACCGAGTGACCCAAATACTTTTTACATCCCTAAAGTATGCTGTAGAAAATTTTTGCAAAAAAATTTAAAAAATCCACCTTGCTGCTTTTTTTGACATTCTGTTAGCCTGGTATTAAGAAATCAATTTGGTGTAAAAATTCTAATTGGAAACTTTTGCAATTCATTTTGTGAGTGACGTCACATTAGCTCAATGCATGAATGAATGTGTAAGTAAATGGTTGAGTGTTTTTGAGTTAATTGGGAACTTTTTTAAGGGAAATTAGTTTGTTTATTAATAAGACTAATAAAATGTAATTTTTTAAACAATGTTTACGTTTAAATTTATTAAAAATTTTTGAGTTTTTACTGAAAAAATTACAATTTTTCAGTAAAAAAATTTTAAAATCTAAATTTTCAATAAAAATCTGAATTTTTGCTAAAAGATTTGTTTTTGAAAAAAAATCGCAAAATTTTGACCAAAAATCAAAATTTTGACTAAAAATTCAAATTTTCACAAAAAAATCTAATTTTTACTAAAAATCATAATTTTCACTAAAAATTCGAATTTTTACCAAAAATCAAATTTTTACTAAAAATCTAAATTTTCACTTAAAATACAAATTTTCACTAAAAATTCAAATTTTTACTTATATTTCGAAGATTTACTAGATATATAAAATTTAACTCAAAATTCGATTTTATTTTAAAATTTCAAATTTAATTAAAAAAATAATTTTCTTCTGTATAATAACAATCTTTTTAACAAAATGTTTTCTATAGAAAAGTCTTTATACAAAAGATTTTCTATAAAAAAGTCTTTATACAAAAGATTTTCTATAAAAAAGTCTTTATACAAAAGATTTTCTATAAAAAAGTCTTTTTTTTTTCACAAAAGATTTTCTATAGAAAAGTCTTTATACAAAAGATTTTCTATAGAAAAGTCTTTATACAAAAGATTTTCTATAGAAAAGTCTTTATACAAAAGATTTTCTATAGAAAAGTCTTTATACAAAAGATTTTCTATAGAAAAGTCTTTATACAAAAGATTTTCTATAGAAAAGTCTTTATACAAGAGATTTTCTATAGAAAAGTCTTTATACAAAAGATTTTCTATAGAAAATTCTTTATACAAAGATTTTCTATAGAAAAGTCTTTATACAAAAGATTTTCTATAGAAAAGTCTTTATACAAAGGTTTTCTATAGAAAAGACTTTATACAAAAGATTTTCTATAGAAAAGCCTATAGAAAAACTTTATACAAAAAATTTTGTATAGAAAAGTCTTTATACAAAAGGTTTTCCATAGAAAAGTCTTTATAAAAAAGGTTTTCTATAGAAAAGTCTTTATGCAAAAGATTTCTATAGAAAAGCCTTTATACAAACGATTTTCTATAGAGAAGTCTTTATACAAAAGGTTTTTTATAGAAATTCTTATACAAAATGTTTTCTATAGAAAATTCTTTATACAAAATGTTTTCTATAGAAAAGTCTTTATACAAAAGATTTTCTATAGAAAGTCTTTATACAAAAGATTTCTATAGAAAAGTCTTTATACAAAAGATTTTCTATAGAAAAGTCTTTATACAAAAGATTTTCTATAGAAAAGTCTTTATACAAAAGATTTTCTATAGAAAAGTCTTTATACAAAAGATTTTCTATAGAAAAGTCTTTATACAAAAGATTTTCTATAGAAAAGTCTTTATACAAAAGATTTTCTATAGAAAAGTCTTTATACAAAAGGTTTTCTATAGAAAAGACTTTATACAAAAGATTTTCTATAGAAAAGCCTATAGAAAAAACTTTATACAAAAAATTTTGTATGGAAAAGTCTTTATACAAAAGGTTTTCCATAGAAAAGTCTTTATAAAAAAGGTTTTCTATAGAAAAGTCTTTATGCAAAAGATTTTCTATAGAAAAGCCTTTATACAAACGATTTCTATAGAGAAGTCTTTATACAAAGGTTTTTTATAGAAAATTCTTTATACAAAATGTTTTCTATAGAAAAGTCTCTAAAACAAATATTTTCTATAGAAGTCTTTATACAAAGGTTTTCTACAGAAAAGTCATATACAAAAGTTTTCTATAGAAAAGTCTTTATGCAAAAGGTTTTCTTTAGTAAAGTCTTTATACAAAAGGTTTTCTATAAAAAGTAATACAAAGGTTTTCCGTAAAAAAGTCTTTTTCACAAAAGATTTTCTATAGAAACTTGTTTAAGCAAAAGGTTTTTTATTGAAAAGTCTTTATACAAAAGGTTTTCTATAGAAGTCTTTATAAAAAAAGGTTTTCTATAGAAACGTCTTTATACAAAAGATTTTCTACAGAAAAGTTTTTCTTACAAAAGGTTTTCTACAGAAAAGTCTTTATGCAAAAATTTTTCTATAGAAAAGTCTTTATACAAAAGTTTTTCTATAGAAAAGTCTTTATACAAAAGGTTTTCTATAGAAAAGTTTTTATATAAAAGAGTTTCTATAGGAAAGACTTTCTAACAATAGATTACTTAAAAGTCTTTCGTACAAGAGGTTTTCTATAGCAAAAGTCTTTATACAAAATGTTTATATTGAAAATATTGAATCACATACCAGGAACTTAAAATTTCCTTTTATTTCTTCTGAAACCTTTAAATTGGTCACAATCTAATTTAACAAATTTTTTAATCAAAAACACTTTATAAACAAAAACCACCAACAAACAACAAAAATTTTTAACTATTGACCCAAGTACTTTAGAAATAAAATACGGACACGTATATAATAAATGAACTACTTGTTGCAAGAAATTCATCAGCAGCAACTTGTTGCAAGCTTTCAATTAAAAGTAATGAATCTGTTACTACTTAATTTAAAATAAATTTTAAATTTACACTTTAAAATTTAGTGGTGAATACAACAAAATACACTTCAACAAATTAAATTGCAATTACGTGATCGATTTAGAAAAAGTTTGTTTTTTTTTTTTTCTCTAAAGAAAAGAAGGAAGCGTAATTTCATGAAGGGATTTTGTTTTTAACCTAAAAATTATAATAATGGTAAATTTTTGTAAAAGTCTTTTACTTTATTGTGGTAAAATTTTTTAGTATAAATACTTTAGATTGTTTAGATAAAATCATTAGTACAGTTTCAGCCGCATCAACAGAAGAAGTTGAATTAGAAAAGAGTTTTTTTTCTTCAATAATATTCAGTTAAATAAATATAGCAATGGCAAAATCTGTGGTAAAATAAATTAAAAGTTTTTCAAATAAATAGAAATTCATTTAAATAGAAAACACTTTAAATAAAAGATTTCCTGTGAAAAAGTATTCAAGCAGAAGATTTTCTATAAAAAAGTCTTCAAACAGAAGATTTTCTATAAAAATGTCTTTAAACAGAAGATTTTCTATAGAAAAGTCTTTAAACAGAAGATTTTCTATAAAAAAGTCATCAAACAGAAAATTTTCTATAAAAATGTCATCAAACAGAAGATTTTCTATAGAAAAGTCTTCAAACAAAAGATTTTTTATCGAAAAGTCTTCCAACAGAAGATTTTCTTTAAAAAAAGTCTTCCAATAGAAGATTTCCTTCGGAAAAAGTCTTCAAATAGAAGATTTTCTATAGAAAAGTCTTCAAATAGAAGATTTTCTATAGAAAAGTTTTCAAACAGAAGATTTTCTATAGAAAAGTCTTCAAACAGAAGATTTTCTATAGAAAAGTCTTCAGGCACAAGATTTTCTATAGAAAAGTCTTCAGGCACAAGATTTTCTATAGAAAAGTCTTCAGGCACAAGATTTTCTATAGAAAAGTCTTCAGGCACAAGATTTTCTATAGAAAAGTCTTCAGGCACAAGATTTTCTATAGAAAATTCTTCAGGCACAAGATTTTCTATAGAAAAGTCTTCAGGCACAAGATTTTCTATAGAAAAGTCTTCAGGCACAAGATTTTCTATAGAAAAGTCTTCAGGCACAAGATTTTCTATAGAAAAGTCTTCAGGCAAAAGATTTTCTATAGAAAAGTCTTCAGGCAAAAGATTTTCTATAGAAAAGCCTTCAAACAGAAGATTTTCTTTAGAAAAGTCTTCAACCAGATGATTTTTTATAGAAAAGTCTTCAACCAGATGAGTTTTTTATAGAAAAGTCTTCAAGCAGAAGATTTTATATAGAAAAGTCTTCAAGCAGAAGATTTTATATAGAAAAGTCTTCAAAATGAAGATTTTCTATAGAAAAGTCTTCAAACTGAAGATTTTTTATAGAAAAGTCTTCAAACTGAAGATTTTCTATAGAAAAGTCTTCAGGCAAAAGATTTTCTATAGAAAAGCCTTCAAACAGAAGATTTTCTTTAGAAAAGTCTTCAACCAGATGATTTTTTATAGAAAAGTCTTCAACCGGATGAGTTTTTTATAGAAAAGTCTTCAAACAGAAGATTTTCTATAGAAAAGTCTTCAAACAGAAGATTTTCTATAGAAAAGTCTTCAAACAGAAGATTTTCTATAGAAAAGTCTTCAGGCACAAGATTTTCTATAGAAAAGTCTTCAGGCACAAGATTTTCTATAGAAAAGTCTTCAGGCACAAGATTTTCTATAGAAAAGTCTTCAGGCACAAGATTTTCTATAGAAAAGTCTTCAGGCACAAGATTTTCTATAGAAAAGTCTTCAGGCACAAGATTTTCTATAGAAAAGTCTTCAGGCACAAGATTTTCTATAGAAAAGTCTTCAGGCACAAGATTTTCTATAGAAAAGTCTTCAGGCACAAGATTTTCTATAGAAAAGTCTTCAGGCACAAGATTTTCTATAGAAAAGTCTTCAGGCAAAAGATTTTCTATAGAAAGTCTTCAGGCAAACGATTTTCTATAGAAAAGCCTTCAAACAGAAGATTTTCTTTAGAAAAGTCTTCAACCAGATGATTTTTTATAGAAAAGTCTTCAACCAGATGAGTTTTTTATAGAAAAGTCTTCAAGCAGAAGATTTTATATAAAAAAGTCTTCAAGCAGAAGATTTTATATAGAAAAGTCTTCAAACTGAAGATTTTCTATAGAAAAGTCTTCAAACTGAAGATTTTCTATAGAAAAGTCTTCAAACTGAAGATTTTCTATAGAAAAGTCTTCAAGCAGAAGATTTTCTAAAGAAAAGCCTTCGAACAGAAGATTTTCTATAGAAAAGTCTTCGAACAGAAGATTTTCTATAGGAAAGACTTCAGACAGAAGATTTTCTATAGAAAAGTCTTTAAATAGAAGATTTTCTATAGAAAAGTCTTCAAACAGAAGATTTTCTAAAGAAAAGCCTTCGAACAGAAGATTTTCTATAGAAAAGTCTTCAATCAGAAGATTTTCTATAGAAAAGTCTTCAATCAGAAGATTTTCTATAGAAAAGTCTTCAATCAGAAGTCTTCAATCAGAAGATTTTCTATAGAAAAGTCTTCAATCAGAAGATTTTCTATAGAAAAGTCTTCAATCAGAAGATTTTCTATAGAAAAGTCTTCAATCTGAAGATTTTCTATAGAAAAGTCTTCAATCGGAAGATTTTCTATAGAAAAGTCTTCAATCAGAAGATTTTCTATAGAAAAGTCTTCAATCAGAAGATTTTCTATAGAAAATCTTCAATCAGAAGATTTTCTATAGAAAAGTCTTCAATCAGAAGATTTTCTATAGAAAAGTCTTCAATCAGAAGATTTTCTATAGAAAAGTCTTCAATCAGAAGATTTTCTATAGAAAAGTCTTCAATCGGAAGATTTTCTATAGAAAAGTCTTCAATCAGAAGATTTTCTATAGAAAAGTCTTCAATCAGAAGATTTTCTATAGAAAAGTCTTCAATCGGAAGATTTTCTATAGAAAAGTCTTCAATCAGAAGATTTTCTATAGAAAAGTCTTCAATCAGAAGATTTTCTATAGAAAAGTCTTCAATCAGAAGATTTTCTATAGAAAAGTCTTCAATCAGAAGATTTTCTATAGAAAAGTCTTCAATCAGAAGATTTTCTATAGAAAAGTCTTCAATCAGAAGATTTTCTATAGAAAAGTCTTCAATCAGAAGATTTTCTATAGAAAAGTCTTCAATCAGAAGATTTTCTATAGAAAAGTCTTCAATCAGAAGATTTTCTATAGAAAAGTCTTCAATCAGAAGATTTTCTATAGAAAAGTCTTCAATCAGAAGATTTTCTATAGAAAAGTCTTCAATCAGAAGATTTTCTATAGAAAAGTCTTCAATCAGAAGATTTTCTATAGAAAAGTCTTCAATCAGAAGATTTTCTATAGAAAAGTCTTCAATCAGAAGATTTTCTATAGAAAAGTCTTCAATCAGAAGATTTCTATAGAAAAGTCTTCAATCAGAAGATTTTCTATAGAAAAGTCTTCAATCAGAAGATTTTCTATAGAAAAGTCTTCAATCAGAAGATTTTCTATAGAAAAGTCTTCAATCAGAAGATTTTCTATAGAAAAGTCTTCAATCAGAAGATTTTCTATAGAAAAGTCTTCAATCAGAAGATTTTCTATAGAAAAGTTTTCAATCGGAAGATTTTCTATAGAAAAGTCTTCAATCAGAAGATTTTCTATAGAAAAGTCTTCAATCAGAAGATTTTCTTTAGAAAAGTCTTCAATCAGAAGATTTTCTATAGAAAAGTCTTCAATCAGAAGATTTTCTATAGAAAAGTCTTCAAACAGATTTTCTGTAGAAAAATTAATGATTTTTGAATTTGATTTAATATATTATAGAGCATTTTGATTATATCTACCTTGTTTGCTGTGTTGTGGGTGGTCCAAGGAGTTGAGTTAGCTGCTGCCGGTAAACATGTTAAGGACACTAATGTTGAGATCTCCAAAACTGTGCCCAAACGTAGTTTAGATGCTTTTATTGGTGATGCTGGCTTTGGGGGATCTGGTTGGCAACAAACTGCTTTAAAATTAAATGGTTTTCAAAATGGCTGGAATCCTTGGAATGCTCAGTAAGTTAGCAGTTAAGATGAACATAAATAATTTTGTTTAAATGTTATGTTTAACATTAGTACTAGTCGCTTAGTGTCGGGACCCTCACCCAATGAAGTGGCCAATGCTATACAGGCCGCTAAACAGGCATCTGCCAATGTTTTGATAGCTCAACAACAAATGCAGGCAGCCAAAGAGAATGTTTTAAATCAACAGCGAATGGCTATGGAAAAAGAAGCCAGTGCTACCATATTGACACAAAAATCTGAGGCTGCTGCTGCTATACAACGTTCTGAAGCAGCTGCTGCTGCTCAGGCGGTGTTATTGGCTCAACAACGTTTGGCTGCTGCTAAGGCAGCCGTGGCCCATCAACAACGCATTGCTTCGGCTAAAGAAGCTGAAGCAGCGAATGCTTTGCAACGTTCTGCTCATGCTGCTGCTGCTGAAATACAAAAAACTGAATATGAAGCCTCTAAAATGGGACAGATGGCTCGTAATAATAACGCTGGCGCCGCTCATCATTTGACTTTTACTAAAGATGCTGCTTTTAGTCCCATAACAGCTGGTACTAATCATGTTCCCAATTTAGAGTCTTTAGGACCCTGGTCTGCAGCCGCCGCTGCTGCAGCTGCCGGTTCTAAATCGGGAGCTCCAACGGCTTGGTTGTAAATTGTACAGATTATTTTTTATGTTATTTCATATTTTTTTTATAGTTTTTAAATAAATGCAATTGAGAAAAAGTATTTTAAAGTTGTTGTTTTTTTACTATTCTTCTATATTTAGGGGTTTTTAAATTAAATACCTTTAAAGAAAAATCTTTTATTTTTTTTTTTATAATATTTATAAATTTTATTATTTTTATAGGTTTTCTGTTTTTATATTATTATTATTATTTTTTAATTTCTAACATATTTAAATTATTTTCTTTTTGAGGGATTTTTTTTATACTACATTCTCTTTTTTGTTTTTTAATTAAATTTTTTAAATATAAATCACTTAATTTTGTTACAATAATATAAATCAATTTATTTTTTAGTCATTTTAGATAAATTTTATTTTTTTTCTTAATTTAAATCATAAAAAATAATAAAAATTATTTCGAAATTCTTAAAAAACGAATCATAGTTTAGGGTCATGATGGGATGTTTTTTTGTTTAGGATTTTTTTATATATATAAAAAAAATAATACCAATTGCTGAGGAAAGTCATGGGATTGTTTTTCAAAAGAAAAATCTTTCTTTCTAGAAAAAACTCTGAACTTAAATTTTTTTATAGAAATGTAATTAAATATAAACTTTCGAATTAAAAATTTTCTATTGAAAAATCTTTCAAATAGAAGATTTTCTATGGGAAAAACTTTGAACAGAAGATTTTCTATAGAAAAATCTTTCGAATAGAAGATTTTCTATGGAAAAGACATTCAACAGAAGTTTTTCTTTCAAAAATTCTTTCGAATAGAAGTTTCTATAGCAAAGTCCTTCAACATAACATTTTCTATAGAAAATTCTTTCGAATAGAAGATTTTTTATAGGAATGACATTCAACAGAAGATTTTCTATCAAAAAAGATTCCAAATAGAAGATTTTCTATAGGAAAAACTTTCAACAGAATATTATCTATCAAAAAGTCTTTCGAATAGAAAATTTTCTATTGAAGAATCTTTCAACAGAATATATTCTATTGAAAAATCTTTCAAATGGAAGATTTTCTATGGGAAATACCTTGAACAGAAGATATTCTATCAAAAAGTCTTTCAAATAGGATATTTTCTATAGAAAAGTCTTTCCATAGAATATTTTCTATAGAAAAATTTTTCGAATATAAGATTTTCTATAAGAAAAACTTTCTAGAGAAGATGTTCTATCAAAAAATCTTTCGAATAGAAGGTTTTCTATAGAAAAATCTTTCGAATAGAAGATTTTCTATGGAAAAGACATTCAACAGAAGTTTTCCTTTAAAAAATTCTTTCGAATAGAAGTTTCTATAGCAAAGTCCTTCGACATAACATTTTCAATTCTTTCGAATAGAAGATTTTTTATAGGAATGATATTCAACAGAAGATTTTCTATCAAAAAGGATTCCAAATAGAAGATTTTCTATAGGAGTCTTTCGAATAGAAAATTTTCTATTGAAGAATCTTTCAAAAGAATATATTCTATTGAAAAATCTTTCAAATGGAAGATTTTCTATGGGAAAAAAAACTCGAACAGAAGATTTTCTATTGAAAAGTCTTTTAAATAGGATATTTTCTATAGAAAAGTCTTTCCACAGAATATTTTCTATAGAAAAATGTTTCGAATATAAGATTTTCTCTAAGAAAAACTTTCTAAAGAAGATTTTCTATCAAAAAATCATTCGAATAGATGGTTTTCTATAGAAAAATCTTTCGAATAGAAGATTTTCTATAGGAAACACTTTCAACAGACGTTTTTCTTTCAAAAATTCTTTCGAATAGAAGTTTTTATAGCAAAGTCCTTCAACATAATATTTTCTATAGAAAATTCTTTCGAATAGAAGATTTTTTATAGGAATGACACAACAAAAGATTTTCTATAGAAAAGTCTTTTAACTGAAGAGTTTCTATAGGAAAGACTTTCAACAGAAGATTTTCTTTCAAAAATTCTTTCGTATAGAACTTTTCTATAGCTAAATCTTTCAACAGAATATTTTCTATAAAAAAATCTTTCGAATAGAAAATTATCTATAGGAAAAACATTCAACAGAAGATTTTCTATCAAAAAGAATTCCGAAGAGAAGATTTTCTATAGGAAAAACTTACAAAAGTCTTTCGAATAGAAAATATTCTATGGGAAAGACTTTGAACATAAGATTTTCTATCGAAAATTCTTTGAAATACACAATTTTCTATTGTAAAGTCTTTCAACAAAAGATTTTCTACAGAGAAGTCTTTCAACTGAAAAGTTTCTATAGGAAAAACGTTTAACAGAAGACTTCCTTTCAAAAAAATTTTCGAATAGAAGATTTTCTATTGAAGAATCTTTCAACAGAATATATTCTATTGAAAAATCTTTCAAATAGAAGATTTTCTATGGGAAAAACCTTCAACAGAAGATTTTCTATCGAAAAGTCTTTCAAATAGGATATTTTCTATAGAAAAGTCTTTCCACAGAATATTTTCTATAGAAAAAATTTTCGAATATAAAATTTTCTATAAGAAAAACTTTCTAATGAAGATTTTCTATCAAAAAATCTTTGGAATAGATGGTTTTCTATAGAAAAATCTTTCGAATAGAAGATTTTCTATAGGAAACACAATCAACAGACGTTTTTCTTTCAAAAATTCTTACGAATAGAAGTTTCAGAAGTTTTTCTATCAAAAAGTCTTTCAATAGAATATTTTTTATAGAAAAATCTTTCAAATAGAATAGTTTCTAAAGGAAAGACATTCAACCGAAGATTTTCTTCCGAAAAGTCTTTCAAGTAGACAATTTTCTATAGAAAAATCTTTCAACAAAAGATTTTCTACAGAGAAGTCTTTCAAATGAGAAAGTTTCTATAGTAAAAACTTTCTTTCAAAAGTGTTTTCTTTCAAAAAATCTTTCGAATAGAAGAATTTCTATAGAAAGATCTTTCCACAATGAAAGAAAGACTTCCAAAAAGAAGATTTTTTATAGAAAAATCTTACAACAAAAAACTTTCTATTGAAAAATCTTTCAAATAGAAGATTTTCTATAAAAAAAATCTGACGTTTTTCTATAAGAAAATCTTTTGTATTGTATATTTTCTATAGAAAACACTTTTAATGGAAGACTTTCTATGAAAAGTCTTTCAATAGAAGATTTTATATGAAATAGTCTTTCGAATAGAATAATTTCTATAGAAAAGTCTTTTAATAGAAGTTTTTCTATAAGAAAATCATTCAATAGAAGATTTTCTAACAAATTAAAGATTTTCTCAAGAAAAATCTTTTAAACGAAAGATTTTCTTTCAAAAATACACAAAATTCTTCTAAAAAAAAGTTCTTCTATAGAAAAATGTTCACACAAAAGATTTTCCATTGAAAAGTTTTCAAATAATCTTTAAAACTTAAGATTTTCTATAGAAAAGTCTTCAAAAGAAAAGATTTCCATAGAAAAGATTTCATACTAAATATTTTCAATAGAATAGTTTTTGAATAAAAGATTTTTGATAGAAAACTCTTGAAATTCTTTAATAAAAAGATTTTCTATAGAAAAATTTGTAAATTTTTATATAGAAAATAGCTTTAAGATCATGAAAAGTTATTGAAACAAATAATTCTCTATAGAAAACTTTCAAACAGTTTAATTTTGCAAAGAAATTTTTTTAAAATTAAATAATTTTTTTTTATAACTTTTAACTGAAATTTAATATTATGGGATTTTGGGATCTTTTACTTTTTTTGTTTTAAAGAAATTTGTATCTTAAGGTGTTTTGTGGGCGGGGTAGGTTGGCTTGGTTTTTTTTTTTTGTAATTATTTAATGAGTTTAATTTTATATTAATTAAATTTGTTTGCAAATATGTTTTTGTTGTTATGTATAAATGGTTAGAATTGTTTGCAATTTTGTTGTATGATTTAAATGATTGTTAATTTTATATAATTTTATATTATTATTATTTATCATAATGTTGTCATAATTAATAAAAATTGTATTATTTTATTTATTAGTATTTTTGTTTATTATATTTTTAATTTGTATTAAACAATTTATTTGATTTGCGTTTAACTACTTAACAATAAATTAAATATTTATTAATTTATTTCATAATGAATTTGTTTGTTTTTTAATTATATTTAAAATATTTTTTGGTTATTTTTTGTGTTAATTTAGAATATGATTTTTTTATTTTTTTGTTTTTAGCATAAGATTTGTTTTTTTTTTTTTTGGCGAATGAAAATTTAAGGAAAAGAAGAATAATTAAATAAATTTTAAGGAAAATAAAGAAAATATCAAAATAAATCATCTCAGAAACCCCATTAGTAAGATAAAGAAAATTTTGCATTTCTAAATCGTAATTGACAATCTTGTTTTTAAAAGAAATATATAACAAAATTCTTAAGCCTTGAAAATTACATATCAAATGATATTTTCTACAAGAAATTTTAACCAAGATTTTGCAATAAAGTGGCTTAAGTCTGAAAAATTTCTTTATACAAATCCCTCCAAACGTTTCGTGAAAAAACTCATACATAAAGTGTACATTGCAAAACTTATTATAAAAAAAAAACTTTTATTCCATTATTATAAGTGTAAATTGTTATTTTAATTAAAAAAATAATAAAGTGTAAATGAGATAAATATATATAAAAAAACAAATAATCTCAGTGCATTGTATAGAAAAAAATATATATTAGTAGATAATAAAAATATTCAACATAAGTTGGTTAAACATACAATATGCTAAATTTACAAACTTTACTAAAAGTTTCGGCATATCTTTAGTAGTGTATGTTAAACCAGCCATAATAAATATACAAATAATACTTAAAATAATGAAAAAGATTATTGAATTTTTAATGTATATAAAAAATAAAAACAAAACCCTTAAAAATGTAGCTAAAATTTTTAAAATTTAACACAAAGGCAGTTGTTTAATTTGAAGATTTCAAGAAATAATTTTTGTTGGTGGACAAAAGAAATCTTAATTTTTAAGAAAATATGTTTGCTAAATTACATTTTTAAAAGGAAATTTATATTTTAAAAAGGAATAAAAAGCTGCCAAATATTCTTAATAGAAAACTTTCTAACAACAGACTTTCTATAGAAAAGTATTCTGTGGAAATCTTTTAAACAATATTTTCTAAACTAGAACTAGAACAGAACTAGAACTGAACTAGAACAAAACTAGAACAGAACTAGAACAGAACTAGAACAGAACTAGAACAGAACTAGAACAGAACTAGAACAGAACTAGAACAGAACTAGAACAGAACTAGAACAGAACTAGAACAGAACTAGAACAGAACTAGAACAGAACTAGAACAGAACTAGAACAGAACTAGAACAGAACTAGAACAGAACTAGAACAGAACTAGAACAAAACTAGAACAGAACTAGAACTGAACTAGAACTGAACTAGAACAGAACTAGAGCAGAACTAGATTCTGAACTAGAACTGAACTAGAACTGAACTAGAACTGAACTAGAACTGAACTAGAACTGAACTAGAACTGAACTAGAACTGAACTAGAACTGAACTAGAACTGAACTAGAACTGAACTAGAAGTGAACTAGAAGTGAACTAGAACTGAACTAGAACTGAACTAGAACTGAACTAGAACTGAACTAGAACTGAACTAGAACTGAACTAGAACTGAACTAGAACTGAACTAGAACTGAACTAGAACTGAACTAGAACTGAACTAGAACTGAACTAGAACTGAACTATAACAGAATTAGAACAGAACTAAAACTGAACTAGAACTGAACTAGAACTGAACTAGAACTGAGCTAGAACTGAACTAGAACTGAACTAGAACTGAACTAGAACTGAACTAGAACTGAACTAGAACTGAACTAGAACTCAACTAGAACTGAACTAGAACTCAACTAGAACTGAACTAGAACTACTAGAACTGAACTAGAACTGAACTAGAACTGAACTAGAACTGAACTAGAACTGAACTAGAACTGAACTAGAACTGAACTAGAACTGAACTAGAACTGAACTAGAACTGAACTAGAACTGAACTAGAACTGAACTAGAACTGAACTAGAACTGAACAAGAACTGAACTAGAACTGAACTAGAACTGAACTAGAACTGAACTAGAACTGAACTAGAACTGAACTAGAACTGAACTAGAACTGAACTAGAACTGAACTATAACAGAATTAGAACAGAACTAAAACTGAACTAGAACTGAACTAGAACTGAACTAGAACTGAGCTAGAACTGAACTAGAACTGAACTAGAACTGAACTAGAACTGAACTAGAACTGAACTAGAACTGAACTAGAACTGAACTAGAACTCAACTAGAACTGAACTAGAACTGAACTGAACTAGAACTGAAAGAACTGAACTAGAACTGAACTAGAACTGAACTAGAACTGAACTAGAACTGAACTAGAACTGAACTAGAACTGAACTAGAACTGAACTAGAACTGAACTAGAAATGAACTAGAACTGAACTAGAACTGAACTAGAACTGAACTAGAACTGAACTAGACTGAACTAGAAACTGAACTAGAACTGAACTAGAAATGAACTAGAACTGAACTAGAACTGAACTAGAACTGAACTAGAACTGAACTAGACTGAACTAGAACTGAACTAGAACTGAAACTAGAACTGAACTATAACTGAACTAGAACTGAACTAGAACTGAACTAGAACTGAACTAGAACTGAACTAGAACTGAACTGACTGAACTAGAACTGAACTAGAACTGAACTAGAACTGAACTAGAACTGAACTAGAACTGAACTAGAACTGAGCTAGAACTGAACTAACGAACTAGAATTAACTAGAACTGAACTAGAACTGAACTAGAACTGAACTAGAACTGAACTAGAACTGAACTAGAAACTGAACTAGAACTGAACTAGAACTGAACTAGAACTGAACTAGAACTGAACTAGAACTGAACTAGAAACTGAACTAGAACTGAACTAGAACTGAACTAGAACTGAACTAGAACTGAACTAGAACTGAACTAGAACTGAACTAGAACTGAACTAGAACTGAACTAGAACTGACTACGAACTAGAACTGAACTAGAACTGAACTAGAACTGAACTAGAACTGAACTAGAACTGAACTAGAACTGAACTAGAACTGAACTAGAACTGAACTAGAACTGAACTAGAACTGAACTAGACTGAGCTAGAACTGAACTAAAACTGAAGTGGAACTGAGAGAAGTCTTTTAGTAAAAGATTTCCTATAGAAAAGTCTTTCTATATAAGACTTTTTATTAAAAAGTGTTTTTACAAAAGATTTTCCGTAGAAGTCTTTCAACAGCAGATTTTTTATAAAAAAATCTTTCAAACAGAAGATTTTCAATAAAAAGCCTTTAACATATGATTTTCTGTAGAAAAGTCATACGTCAGAAAATTTTTTATTAAAGTTTTTTAAACATAAATCGGTCCACCACATTTTGAAATCTGGGAAATGTTATATAATTTGTTCTTTTCAAATACCGCCATTATGTGTTAAAAAAATACTCGTTTCTTTTTAGCTTAAAAAGAAAACTTTTGTGTTTTTTTTTTCAATATAATTTGTATATAAACGACTAGATTAAAATATTGTAAATTAAATAAAAAAGGAAACTAAAGTTTTCTTAAAAGAAAATGAAAGGCCTAAGTAGAAGATTAAATATCAATATGGATATTTCTCTTTTTGTGTACATTATGAGATTCAAAAGGGTTAATATTTTGAAAAATAGATAACTAAATAAGGAATACAGATTAGTTCAATACATTTATGTATGTATAGGTAAATGTAATTTTGTATGGATATATTTCTTTTTAGTAAAATATCTATGTTTTTTTATGTAAATTTATAAATGGAAATATATAGTCTAGATATACTAACTATCTAGATAATTTTATGGGTGTGTATGTATATAGTATGTATATGAGAATATAGATTAAAGTAGTTTGATTTCTTGATTTTGTTTTACGATTTTTTTTTAGAATTGTTCGAGTTAATGACTTAATTTGTTATAATTTTAATTATAACTTTTCATAATAATGATGTTTTCTTCTTTTTTAATTTGTTTTTGTTGTTTTTTAACACATAAAAAGTGTTAGTTGTTTATAGGTTCTTATAAAATATTTTCTTCACTTTGTTTTGTTTTATCTAATAAAAAGTTAATAAAAAAGCAATTTACCATTGTATAACATTGTTTTCTTAAAGAGTGTAGAGTGTGTGTGTATGAATGAATGAGAGCATTATGATGGCGAATGTCTTAGACAGTTGTTCCATAGGGATTGAAAACAGCTCTTGAACTGTCTGTATCTAAGGAAATATCCTCAGGACTGGCTAAATCTACACGTACATTGGAATTGGTACGCCTGCGGGCAGTTTGTGCGGCACCCCAATTACTTAGGGTCCAATGGAAACCAGAACTGGGTGGTTGTTCTTCGGCCACTTTAACTTGAGTGCAAACCTTAAATCAAAACAACAGTTAATTAATATTAATATGAATAAAACATTTTAACAGAAAAACAATCCCACCTCTCGATTAACACAAGGCAATGTTTCGGTGTTGTTGCCATTGGCAATACCAGAACCCGAACCAGTGGCAGAACCACCAGATTCTCTTGTACTACCCAAACTACTGCTGGATGCCAGCGAATCGTTACTGGATTCTGTGACAGCTCCACGGTAACGTGAAACTGTTTGAGCTACGGCCTTTAAATACAAAATACAATTTTATTAATTATTTTCTTAATTTCATTTAAAAACTTACCATTGCATCACCACTTTGGCAATCTTCTATGGATTTTAATATTTCCCATACTAGTTCCGAGTCTAAGGGTATGGGATGTTCAGCATCACGATTGTAGATATTAATCGCTATATGTACAGGATGTGGTACCGGCAAAGGTATCAATAACTTTTCCGATAAACTTTTATCGTCTGACTTCTTTTTCCAGGGACGGCCAGGGTTTATGAGTATCGGAAGTTTTTGTTTGCTGGGCAGCACGATGGGCACGAACGCGAGGTGTGGTCAAACCAACGGAAATGTCCCTTTAAGAAGAATGGAAAATTCTTTCAAAAAACAAGTTTTTTCAAACGAAAAAAATTTCAGTTTAAATCTTTCAGACAATCATTCATAAAAAACTGAAATGATCTAGAGCTGAACTTAAAAGACTAGAACTGAACTTGAACAGAACTAGAACTGAAATTAGAACTGAACTAGAACTGATCTAGAACTGAACTAAAACTGAACTAGAACAGAACTATACAGAACTAGAACTTAACTAGAACTGACTAGTCTGAACTAGAACTGAACTAGAACTGAACTAGAAACTAACTGAAACTAGAACTGAACTAGAACTGAACTAGAACTGAACTAGAACTGAAACTGAAACTGAACTAGAACTGAACTAGAACTGAAACTAGGAACTGACTAGACCTGACTAGAACTGAACTAGAACTGAACTAGAACTGAACTAGAACTGAACTAGAACTGAACTAGAACTGAACTAGAACTGAACTAGAACTGAACTAGAACTGAACTAGAACTGAACTAGAACTGAACTAGAACTGAACTAGAACTGAACTAGAACTGAACTAGAACTGAACTAGAACTGAACTAGAACTGAACTAGAACTGAACTAGAACTGAACTAGAACTGAACTAGAACTGAACTAGAACTGAACTAGAACTGAACTAGAACTGAACTAGAACTGAACTAGAACTGAACTAGAACTGAACTAGAACTGAACTAGAACTGAACTGAACTGAACTAGAACTGAACTAGAACTGAACTAGAACTGAACTAGAACTGAACTAGAACTGAACTAGAACTGAACTAGAACTGAACTAGAACTGAACTAGAACTGAACTAGAACTGAACTAGAACTGAACTAGAACTGAACTAGAACTGAACTAGAACTGAACTAGAACTGAACTAGAACTGAACTAGAACTGAACTAGAACTGAACTAGAACTGAACTAGACTAACTGAACTAGAACTGAACTAGAACTGAACTAGAACTGAACTAGAACTGAACTAGAACTGAACTAGAACTGAACTAGAACTGAACTAGAACTGAACTACTGAACTAAACTGAACTAGAACTGACTAGGTCTGAACTAGAACTGAACTAGAACTGAACTAGAACTGAACAAGAACTGAACTAGGACTGAACTAGAACTGAACTAGAACTGAACTAGAACTGAACTAGGACTGAACTAGAACTGAACTAGAACAGAACTATCCCATAATTAGAACTTAACTAGAACTGAACTAGAACTAAAACTGTACTAGAACTGATCTAGATCTAAAAATTTTATCAAAAAACTTACCGTTTCTCTGGTTTTCTGAAAGTTAATGTTATTCTAGATCTAGGATTAAAGGCGGTCACTTCCAGGAATGGTAATGTACTTGTACATTACCACGCGGAGCATAAACATTACCCAAGAGATCTAAACCTTTGGAACCAATAACATCTGTGGCATTTTGTACCATTTCGGTGTAGCGAGTCAAATCCAAAGTTGGATGTGGTTCCAGTTTGAAATGCGTATCGTTTTCCATTAGAGGTGTGAGAAAATCTAAGCTAAATATTTCGGTATAAATGAGGCCAGCTAAACCGGGCCAATCATTGACCGTTAAGCCCTAAAATTAAAAAAAAAAAATTAGATTATATGCAGAAGTTTATTTGAATGAATATTCACTACCTTATTATCCCAAAATTCTTCCTCACTTATGGATAATCTAGCTATAATATGTGACGGATAGTATTTCTCCAGTATATGGGCGGCAAGTTGTATGGCAATCTAAGGATTTAAGAAGAAAAGTTAGAACTTATTTAGATTTAATTGAGGCAGTTAATATTCACCTTTAGTTCCTTGGTATTGAGTTTTATTCTGGTTTTAACTTGTGTGGTCAAGGCGGTTTGCAATTCACGTCTACGTTTCTCTAATTTCTCATGCAATGTAGTCATTAAGTCTTGAGCCTCACGATCCAATGACAAGTAGGGTCCACTTTTCGACAGTTGGGCTGAAAAGGGACCAAAACAAGCCTCTACAAATTGAGAGAAATCTTTTTGTGGTTGCATTATTATACGTTCCATGGCATGTTGATATGCTTGCAACTCATCCAATTCCATTTTGGCTTCAAAGGCAGCCAAAGCTTGCTCGGGTCTAATGATAAAGTAATAGTCGAGAGCCAAACCGGGACCGGCTATACGTTTAACAGCCAAACTATCGGAAGCCGGGATACGGCCACATTTCTTAATGAACAAATGAAATGTAAGGGAATCCCACAACAGTCGCAAAGAGTAACGAACCACACCAACTTTGAATTGAAAGAAAATTATGGATATTTTTGTAAAACAAAAAATGTCTTAATCTTTTACCTATTAATATCAAACCGGACACCAATGGACACAATATACTGGCCACTAATAATGCCGCTATGGGTTGTATACAGCCCTGTATGAAAATATTCCATATTAATGCCTCCAATAAAATACAATAGCGATTGCGTGCATTGTCCGGCGAATCCAGATCATAAATTAATATCATATAAACATGCAATAAAATAGTAAATACGGGAATCCACAAAGGAGCTGTTAAGGCCAATAAAATGCTAAGCAAACTACAGGCCAAACAGAGTAAGGGAAAGGCAAACAAGATAACCACAGTGCCCAGAAAACCTTTGACAAAATAATTCCAAACACGATTTAAATTGCGTGTAAATCCCTTGCCTATGAAACCTACAAAAACACCACATAATAAATTACTTAAGAACTTGTTGTTTATTATTAATAAAACTTACCCGTATCCGGTTCAGTTTCAAAATGCGTTCTTGATTTTGATATGTGTCGCCAGAGCTCTATTAGACGTGAGGCCATAGTCTGCGTTATGCTTGTCTTGCGCGGAAAAAGGGTGCCATTGATTTGTGACAACTCTAGGTCTGGCATGAAAGGCTTAACACAGAACAGGGCCCGCAAACTTACGGGACTACACCAGGGCACCAAAATGCCCAACAGAAACATCATATTCCAGGTCCAACACCAAGTACGCTGCATTAAATTCAATAAACGCCAGAAGGGCCACCTTGTGCTGGTGGTGCGCACAATTTCCTTTTCCACTAAGAACACCGGTTGACTAGGATCTGATCTGGGCGTTACTATCGAGGTGGCCTGTTGACTTATGACCGTGGGTATAACATCCGACTGGCCTTGGAAATTTCTACGTATAATCCAGGACTTAGGTGACCAAATGCGACAGGCCCATTGAAAACTACGTGTGGGTGTTTTGGCATTTTTCAACTCTTTCAGCAATACCGGTTCACGCTCCTTCATGAAAGCCAAATCTCGCCCTAAAAAGTAGGCAGTTTGATGTAGATTATGTTTCGAGCACATTTTCAAAGCTTCCTCATGGGCCGACCAGGCTGACTTGGATAATTTACTTTCTTCAGCATGTCTTAATTTCGAACGCAACCAGGGTGCCACTCTCGACAACACCGAATGATCATTTGACAAACATTTCTGATGATCTTCCCGTGAGCGTTTAATATCCTTTTGTACTTTATCCACTGCCTTATACATGATCACCACCGACTGGGCCTGCTGCACTAATAACTCAGGTATACCATCGCCTAGTTCGGCCAATTTAGGATTGGATAATATTGATGTGTAAACACGTTGTAAATACTCTTTCATTACAGCCTCATTAACTTCTTCTTCGATTTCTTTATCTGTCAACTTTTTAGCTCTCAATTCGGCTATTAAACGTTCACGGAAGTGTAGAAACCAACCACGAGTTTCCCGCTCTAGTATGCCAATCAAAATGGGCAAAGCTTTGCGCATAACATCGCGACAGAAGAGTCGCAAATCGATTTCTTGTCCCTTGGGCGTTAAGAAGAGATATGGCACTGGCTGTGAGACATCACAACTATTAAAGTCGAATTTCTCCATGGTGGCACGACGCAACATTTTACGCACATATGAGCATAGACCATCTAAAACAGTCTTCGAATTCGGACTGAAGAAACAAAAATTAAAAAAATAAAATCATAGAAATTTCTCTAAAAAGTAGAACCAGAACTAGAACTAGATCAAAACTAGAACTGAACTAGAACTGAAACTGGAACTGACTAGAACGAACTAGAACTGAAACTAGAACTGAACTAGAACTGAACTAGAACTGAACTAGACGAACTAGAACTACTGAACTGAACTAGAACTGAACTAGAACTGAACTAGAACTGAACTAGGAACTGAACTAGAACTGAACTAGAATGAACTAGAACTGAACTAGAACTGACTAGAACTGAACTAGAACTGACCTAGAACTGAACTAGAACTGAACTAGAATGAACTAGAACTGAACTAGAACTGACTAGAAGAACTAGAACTGAACTAGAACTGAACTAGAACTGAACTAGAACTGAACTAGACTGAACTAGAACTGAACTAGAAATGAACTAGAACTGAACTAGAACTGAACTAGAACTGAACTAGACTGAACTAGAAACTGACACTAGAACGAACTAGAACTGACAGAACTAGGAACTGAACTAGAACTGAACTAGAACTGAACTAGAACTGAACTAGAACTGAACTAGAACTGAACTAGAACTGAACTAGAACTGAAACTAGAACTGAACTAGAACTGAACTAGAACTGAAACTAGAACTGAACTAGAACTGAACTAGAACTGAACTAGAACTGAACTAGAACTGAACTAGAACTGAACTAGAACTGAACTAGAACTGAACTAGAACTGAACTAGAATGAACTAGAACTGAACTAGAACTGAACTAGAAGCTGAACTAGAACTGAACTAGAACTGAACTAGAACGAACTAGAACTGACTAGAACTGAACTAGAACTGAACTAGAAACTGAACTATAACTGAACTAGAACTGAACTAGAACTGAACTAGAACTGAACTAGAACTGAACTAGAACTGAACTAGAACTGAACTAGAACTGAACTAGAACTGAACTAGAAATGAACTAGAACTGAACTAGAAACTGAACTAGAACTGAACTAGAACTGAACTAGAACTGAACTAGAACTGAACTAGAACTGAACTAGAAACTGAACTAGAACTGAACTAGAACTGAACTAGAACTGAACTAGAACTGAACTAGAACTGAACTAGAACTGAACTAGAACTGAACTAGAACTGAACTAGAACTGAACTAGAACTGAACTAGAACTGAACTAGAACTGAACTAGAACTGAACTAGAACTGAACTAGAACTGAACTAGAACTGAACTAGAACTGAACTAGAACTGAACTAGAACTGAACTAGAACTGAACTAGAACTGAACTAGAACTGAACTAGAACTGAACTAGAACTGAACTAGAACTGAACTAGAACTGAACTAGAACTGAGCTAGAACTGAATTAGAACATAACTAGATAAGAACTATAACCGAATTTACGTTAAATTAGAAACTTAACCTTACCCTGCACACAAGTTCCGCTATCAGAAAACGACATCTTTCCTCTTTAATTTTATAGTCCAAATTGTGGGCCAACAGAGCGGGTACTCCAATAAACATATCGACCACTCTGACCAGACCATGGAGTAGAGCGTGTATAGCATGATAAACCGAAAAGAAATGAGAAAATATACGACCACGAGCTTGTAACCACTAGAAAACGAGCAGCCAAAGCCAAATCACTTTAAAAATGAATCATGAGCGCGTAAAGTGCCTTTTTGCAATAGCTGCGATAAACGCCATTTATGCACTTGACCCGGAAAATGCAAACTGGGAACATTAAATTCTCTGTGAAAGAAAATAGAATGATGTAAACAATATATGATTAAAAACAAAGTTCATGTTTATTAAAACTAAACTACTAATTTTCACATGCACACACACTAGTTCATTCTACGAAATTTATATATAACGAATTGTTGTTGTTTTTTATACATAAATAAGCCAGCATTAAGATTATTTAAATTTATGAGAGCCAATAGTAAATATTTTATTTAGGGAGTTTTTTTGCTTAAGGATTTAAAGGCAACAGAAACCAAAAAATTATGAACTAATATAATGATGTTTGGTCATGATGTTGATGATGTTAGAGGCGTTAGTCAGGAGTGATGGTATTTATTAATATTTCGTTAATACAAATACAAATTGGTAAAGGTGAACAAATATTAAAAGACATGTAAAACGTAAAAAGGGTAAACATTGAATAGAACAAATAAGTAATATTCTTAACATTTTTTTTTTATTGATTTTTCTTGTACACAATTTTAGAAATATAAATAAATTTATTCACTATTAACATGCAAAATAATATTGATTTATAGATTTAATAAAATCGTTTAAATGACAGCAAATAAGACGTTAATTAAGTGTTTGATAATAACTTAGAACTAGAACTGAACTGGAACTGAACTAGAACTGAACTAGAACTGAACTAGAACTGAACTAGAACTGAACTAGAACTGAACTAGAACTGAACTAGAACTGAACTAGAACTGAACTAGAACTGAACTAGAACTGAACTAGAACTGAACTAGAACTGAACTAGAACTGAACTAGAACTGAACTAGAACTGAACTAGAACTGAACTAGAACTGAACTAGAACTGAACTAGAACTGAACTAGAACTGAACTAGAACTGAACTAGAACTGAACTAGAACTGAACTAGAACTGAACTAGAACTGAACTAGAACTGAACTAGAACTGAACTAGAACTGAACTAGAACTGAACTAGAACTGAACTAGAACTGAACTAGAACTGAACTAGAACTGAACTAGAACTGAACTAGAACTGAACTAGAACTGAACTAGAACTGAACTAGAACTGAACTAGAACTGAACTAGAAAAAGAACTGAACTAGAACTGAACTAGAACTGAACTAGAACTGAACTAGAACTGAACTAGAACTGAACTAGAACTGATCTAGAAACTGAACTAGAACTGAACTAGAACTGAACTAGAACTGAACTAGAACTGAACTAGAACTGAACTAGAACTGAACTAGAACTGAACTAGAGCTGAACTAGAACTGAACTAGAACTGAACTAGAACTGAACTAAAACTGAACTAGAACTGAACTAGAACTGAACTAGAACTGAACTAGAACTGAAGTAGAACCGAACTAGAACCGAACTAGAACTGAACTAGAACTGAACTAGAACTGAACTAGAACTGAACTAGAACTGAACTAGAACTGAACTAGAACTGAACTAGAACTGAACTAGAACTGAACTAGAACTGAACTAGAACTGAACTAGAACTGAACTAGAACTGAACTAGAACTGAACTAGAACTGAACTAGAACTGAACTAGAACTGAACTAGAACTGAACTAGAACTGAACTAGAACTGAACTAGAACTGAACTAGAACTGAACTAGAACTGAACTAGAACTGAACTAGAACTGAACTAGAACTGAACTAGAACTGAACTAGAACTGAACTAGAACTGAACTAGAACTGAACTAGAACTGAACTAGAACTGAACTAGAACTGAACTAGAACTAGAACTGAAGTAGAACTGAACTAGAACTGAACTAGAACTGAACTAGAACTGAACTAGAACTAGAACTAGAACTGAACTAGAACTAACTAGAACTGAACTAGAACTGAACTAGAACTGAACTAGAACTGAACTAGAACTGAAACTAGAACTGAACTAGAACTGAACTAGAACTGAACTAGACACTGAACCTAGAACTGAACTGAACTAGAACTGAACTAGAACTGAACTAGAACTGAACTAGAACTGAACTCGAACTGAACTAGAACTGAACTAGAACTGAACTAGAACTGAACATGACCTAGAACTGAACTAGAACTGAACTAGAACTGAACTCGAACTGAAACTAGAACTGAACTAGAACTGAACTAGAACTGAACTAGAACTGAACTAGAACTGAACTAGAACTGAACTAGAACTGAACTCGAACTGAACTAGAAATGAACTAGAACTGAACTAGACACTGAACTAGAACTGAACTAGAACTGAACTAGAACTGAACTAGAACTGAACTAGAACTGAACTAGAACTGAACTAGAACTGAACTAGAACTGAACTAGAACTGAACTAGAACTGAACTCGAACTGAACTAGAACTGAGAACTGAACTAGAACTGAAACAGATCTGAAATTAGAATTATATAAATTTAACAAAACAATCGGTAAACCCTAAAATGCCTTAATATTTTTGGTTCTTTTTTCTAAAAAAGATTTAATTTATTATACAAGTTCCCTGGCTACTTTAAAATTTTAAATTACTCAAAATCTTTCATATAATACGCACAATATTTTACAACATTTATACACAAATTTATCATATAATAAAAAACCATTTAATTGAAATTTAAATAAAAACTCTATATACAAAGAAACGACTTAAATATTTATGTTTAAATAGTTAAAATCATAAAATAATTTCGTTAAATAATTGAAATTGAAAAAAGAAGAGAAAAATTAAATTAGTTTATTATTGTTGAATGTATTTACCCATTTTTACGTATGGTTTCCAATTGTTCCAAAGTTAATTTCTTGGGTTTTCCATATTTATCCTTTTGTAAGCTTTTTTGTTTATTAAATTTCAAGATTTCGAGTTTTCGTTTTATATATATAATTTTTTTTTTTTTGTAATGGTGAATAATTTGTTTGGTTAATGCAATAAAATATAATATAAAAAAATTTATTGGTTTTGGGTGAATTATTTAGCCATAGTAGAGAAGATTATGATTTTTATACGTTAAAAGAATTTGAACGTAAACAAAATTAAACTAAAGAATTATATAAAAATAATGAAATTCAAATGGTTAAATAAAAGCTAAAAATGTATAGAGTTTTATTTAAACATGCAGCAGGTGAACAAAACAAATAAATGAATCCAAAAATAATGTATGAAGTGAACAATTAAATTAATAATGAGCAATTTGTTAAATAACAAATAAATAAAAAAACACTTTTTTGTGTTTATAAAATAAGAAGAAAAACGTAAAGAAAAAATCATCCCCAAAAAATATGTAAAACAAATAAATTTTCTATAATGTATACAAAATTTTAATTAAACTAATTTTTAATGTTTAATATGATTTTTGGAAATATTAGCTTTATTACGCAGAAAATATAATAAATAAAATAAAAATAATAGCAAAATAATATTAATCAATATTAAATAAATTTGAAGAATTTCTTTTAAATGTTTAATAAAAATAAAATAAATTTTAATTTAGAATAAACTTACCCATTCTCACGCAACGATTTCAATTGGGAATTCGTTAGACGCCGTGGATCGCCAGTACCATCAGAAGCACGGCATCAAGCTCATCAAAGGGTGGTGCTATGAATAAATCCCTTAAATTAATGGGTCTGGGTTTACGATTGCCTACCGTATTGGAGCCATATTGCCAGAACTGCTTAGGGTTAAAGCAGCGACCGAAGGGGTTGAGGAAGAACTACAAATTATGGGATGATGAATATCATTAAGTAAATGGATATTTAAGTTCTAGTTCACTTCTAGTTAAGTTCTAGTTCAGTTTTAGTTCAGTTCTAGTTCAGTTCTAGTTCAGTTCTAGTTCAGTTCTAGTCAGTTCTAGTTCTCAGTTCTAGTAGTTCTAGTTCTTCTAGTTCAGTTCTAGTTCAGTTCTAGTTCAGTTCTAGTTCAGTTCTAGTTCAGTTCTAGTTCAGTTCTACTTCAGTTCTAGTTCAGTTCTAGTTCAGTTCTAGTTCAGTTCTAGTTCAGTTCTAGTTCAGTTCTAGTTCAGTTCTAGTTCAGTTCTAGTTCAGTTCTAGTTCAGTTCAAGTTCAGTTCTAGTTCAGTTCTAGTTCAGTTCTAGTTTCAGTTCTAGTTCAGTTCTAGTTCAGTTCTAGTTCAGTTCTAGTTCAGTTCTAGTTCAGTTCTACTTCAGTTCTAGTTCAGTTCTAGTTCAGTTCTAGTTCAGTTCTTGTTCAGTTCTAGTTCAGTTCTAGTTCAGTTCTAGTTCAGTTCTAGTTCAGTTCTAGTTCTGTTTTAACGAATATATTTTTTGGAAACTTACCAATGGGAAATGTTTTCCAATGATATAGGAACTGTTCAGCAAACAGTTTTTATTTGCTGTACCAGTTGCTCAACCTCAGCTGGTGCTCCAACCAGATTTACAGTGAATTGTACTGGTTCACGTTCTGGTCCAGCCAGTGTTAATGGACGCAATTGTTGAGCTGATGTACTGGTAGCTAAAGGCATTTTTCACTGCGATTTTAAAAAATATTTAAATTTAACTACTATTTTTTGCTTCTTCAATTCAAAAAGAATAGTGCGTTTTTAAATAGTTTTTGCCATTTTTATTGTTTTCTTTGTAGAAATTAATTTGATTTCGTATCTAAAATCTGAAAATCTGTACAAAAGAAATTGAGATTTAAACATTTTATTGAAAAATTATATTGTGTTTTTTAAAGATCTAACTTATTTTATAGTAAAAAGTATTTCCAGAATAACATGACTTTTTATAATGGGTTTTCTATTAATAACTCTTTTTTCCGCTATTGCTTTTTTTTCTATAAAAAAAAATCTAATTGATCTTGTTTTTTATGTTTCAAATCAATTTTTTAATAGACAGTTTAATTTGGGAAACATGTTTCTCCCATCAATACCTCAATACACACATAAAATTCTCCTATAATTTACACACTAGATTTTCTTATTCCAAAATAAAATTAAACAAATGTTTATGTTTAAGTCTGAAATTTTCCTCAAATTTTATTGTTGTTGTTGTTTGCATAATAAAATATTTTCCTAAAAATATTTGCATGATATCATTCATATTATAGCAAGACTCAGAACAAAAAAAAAACTATTATAATTAATTAATGGAACAATTAACTAAAGGAAAAGCAAAAAATACTAAACGAGTAAGAAATTATAGTCGGTTAATTCCGACCATTGATTCTTTTGTGATAATATTAGCAATTCGAGATAATATTAAACTTTTCTTGAACTAGAACTGAGCTTGAACATGTACTAAACTAGAACGGAACTAGAACAGAACTTAAACAGAACTAAAACAAAACTAGAACAGAACTAGAACAGAACTAGAACTAGAACAGAACTAGAACAGAACTAGAACTAGAACAGAACTAGATCAGAACTAGAACAGAACTAGAACAGAACTAGAACAGAACTAGAACAGAACTAGAACAACTAGAACAGAACTAGAACAGAACTAGAACAGAACTAGAAACAGAACTGGAACAGAACTAGAACAGAAATAGAACAGAACTAAAACAGAACTAGAACAGAACTAGAACAGAACTAGAACAGAACTAGAACAGACTAGAACAGAACTAGAACAGAACTAGAACAGAACTAGAACAGAACTAGAACATAAATAGAACATAAATAGAATAGAAATAGAACAGAACTAGAACAGAACTAGAACAGAACTAAAACAGAACTAGAACAGAACTAGAACAGAACAGAACTAGAACAGAACTAGAACAGAACTAGAACAGAACTAGAACAGAACTAGAACAGAACTAGAACAGAACTAGAACAGAACTAGAACAGAACTAGAACAGAACTAGAACAGAACTAGAACAGAACTAGAACAGAACTAGAACAGAACTAGAACAGAACTAGAACAGAACTAGAACAGAACTAGAACAGAACTAGAACAGAACTAGAACAGAACTAGAACAGAACTAGAACAGAACTAGAAACAGAACTAACAGAACTAGAACAGAACTAGAACAGAACTAGAACAGAACTAGAACAGAACTAGAACAGAACTAGAACAGAACTAGAACAGAACTAGAACAGAACTAGAACAGAACTAGAACAGAAACTAAAACAGAACTAGAACAGAACTAGAACAGAACTAGGAGAGAACTAAACAGAACTAGAACAGAACTAGAACAGAACTAGAACTGAACTGGAAACAGAACTAATAACAGAAATAGAACAGAACTAGAACAGAACTAGAACAGAATAGAACAGAACTAGAACAGAACTAGAACAGAACTAGAACAGAACTAGAACAGAACTAGAACAGAACTAGAACAGAAACTAGAACCGAACTAGAACAGAACTAGAACAGAACTAGAACCGAACTAGAACAGAACTAGAACAGAACTAGAACAGAACTAGAACAGAACTAGAAACAGAACTAGAACAGAACTAGAAAGAACTAGAACAGAACTAGAACAGAACTAGAACAGAAACTAGAACAGAACTAGAACAGAACTAGAAAACAGAACTAGACAGACAAATAGAACAGAACTAGAACAGAACTAGAAACCGAAACTAGAACAGAACTAGACGAACTAGAACAGAACTAGAACAGAATCTGAACAGAACAGAACTAGAAACATAACTAGAACAGAACTAGAACAGAACTAGAACAGAACTGAACAGAACTAGAACAGAACTAGAACAGAACTAGAACAGAACTAGAACAGACTAGAACAGAACTAGAACAGAACTAGAACAGAACTAGAACAGGACTAGAACAGAACTAGAACATATCTAGAACAGAACTTAGAACAGAACTAAAACAGAACTACGAACAGAACTAGAACAGAACTAGAACAGAACTAGAACAGAACTAGAACAGAACTTGAACAGAACTTAGATACTGGAACTATAACAGAACTAGAATAGAACTAAAACAGAACTAAAACAGAACTAAAACAGAACTAAAAACAGAACTAGAACAGAACTAGAACAGAACTAGAACAGAACTAGAACATAACTAGAACAGAACTAGAACAGAACTAGAACAGAACTAGAACAGAACTAGAAAAGAACTAGAACAGAACTAGAACAGAACTAGAACAGAACTTGAACAGAACTAGAACAGAACTAGAACAGAACTAGAACAGAACTAGAACAGAACTAGAACAGAACTAGAACAGAACTAGAACAGAACTAGAACAGAACTAGAACAGAACTAAAACAGAACTAGAACAGAACTAGAACAGAACTAGAACAGAACTAGAACAGAACTAGAACAGAACTAGAACAGAACTAGAACTAGAACAGAACTAGAACAGAACTAGAACAGAACTAGAACAGAACTAGAACAGAACTAGTACAAAACTAGAACAGAACATCAGGATAAACAGATAATATATACATACATTTCCCACTAAAATGATGTAGGACACTCAAAATCTAAACAAAAGCAATTACACTTGTTAAAAAAGAATGAACAATTTGTACACATTGTAGGTAATGAACAAAACTAGATTTTGTGCTTAAATACTTATTGAAAAATACTACAATTAATTGATGGGTAAATGAAAACAGGACAATAATTAAAAAAAATCTTTATACTTTAATTGTGTTTTAGTATGAAGTTGATGCTACTGAATTTGTTTGCTGTTGTCATATTATTCTTGTTTTATACACTTTTTAATGCTCTAATGAATTTGTTTTTGTTTCAAAAAATACCAACAACAATGAAAGTAAAGTTGCAGTGTTACCCTTTTTTTACATGACACATTTTAATAAGAAAATCTACTCAGCAGGGAATAATATACAAATTATTCATGATTTTTTTATAAAAAAATATATGATTAATTAATTTACAACTTCTATTGCACAATTTAGTGTTTATATTTTCAAAAATATTATTATATAGTTTTTAATAAATAAAATAACACCCCCCGTATTTAATGGCAACTCTTGAAATCTGACTAGTATTATTTTCACTTGACAGACTACGTTCTATCATCTCTCCCCCCACAAGAAACAACACAAACAACAACACTAAAGTCATATACAGAGAATCAATGAATGAAGTAATACGAGGAGAGAAGTCAAGAGTAAACGAAGAAGTAACAATGAGATGAAAAAATACAATACACAACTATTTTTGTGTTAACTTTTTTCCTGTCTTTTGCTTCAAACATCATTTTACACACAAACTCACACAATTATTAATGAATTAAATGAAAATCTCTTTTAATTAATAAACTACTTGCATATTTAACATGTTTTTTCACTTTAAGCATATTCACTTTTCACAATAATTCTTTTTTCTTTTAGATTTTCTTTTCTATACTACCTTTTTTTCTAGTTACACTGTAAAATGTATTATAGATTTTTTCCCATTTTATATCTTAAGAGTTGAGGTCTGTTTCTATAAAATGTCTCAAATTAACATAATTTCATAGTTTATTTTTGGGATTTTTCTAATAAAAACTTTGCAGTATACATTTTTTTATAGATTTTTAATATTTTAAACATGTTTTTTCATTTTTAAATAATTTTTTTTCAAATTTTCTTAGTGACTGTGTGAGACTTTTTAATGCTATTTTTATGAAAAATTGTACAAAACTGTGTTAAATGAAAAACTTGGTTGACTAATTAAGTACTGTGGCGGTGTTGCCATTGTCGTGAAGTAATGTGGAAAAAATAGTTTACGTTTATTTGGGATCAAATGGTAATTAGGGGCTTTTAAACTTTTCAAAGTTCGACTTTTCGAACTTTTTTAAATATGGACTATTCGGCTTTTGTCGACTGACACATAGGGTTCTATAAATCGACTTTCGAATAATCGAACAATCGACTTTTTGTCGAAAAAATTTTTGTATTTTGTTCCAAAAAATTCGATAACTCGACTATCGTCTATGAAAAAAGTCGAAAAGTCGACTTTGTAAATAAAAGTAGAAAAGTCGGAAAGTCGAAAAAAATCGAAAAGTCGAAAAGTCGAAAAAAGTCGATAAGTCGAAAAAAGTCGAAAAAAGTCGAAAAGTCGGAAAAAGTCGAAAAGTCGGAAAAAGTCGAAAAGTCGAAAAAAGTCGAAAAATCGAAAATAGTCGAAAATTTTAAAAAAGTGGAAAAGAGGTCAAAAACTCTAAAATAGTCGGAAAAACTCGAAAAAAGTCGAAATAAGTCGAAAATAGTCAAAAAGTCGTAAAAAATCGAAAAGTCGGAAAAAGTCGAAAAAAGTCGAAAAGTCGAAAAAAGTCGAAAAGTCGAAAAAAGTCGAAAAGTCGACCATTTATAAAATACTAAAAGTCGAAAAGTCTAAAAGTTGACTTTTAAATAAATGAAAAAGGTCGAAAAGTCGAAAAATCGACTTTTCATAAAATGGAAAAAGTCGAAAGGTCGAAAGTCGACTTTTAACTAAATGCAAAAAGTCGAAAAGTCGACTTTTCGTTTCAACTATAGAACCCTACTGACACACACATTTATACACATAGATATTGATACACACTTTGACATTGACATAAACATTTACCCCGTGTCTATATTGGACAAATATTTATGTATCACAGCACTTGACAAATGTCGGCAGAAAAATTGTCAGTTTTTTGTTTATGTTAATGCATAGGGCTAACAAAATGCTGATTTTGTCACGACAACTCACAGATAATTGTATTGAAATAATGCTATATTTTATAAAAACAATTAAAATGAAATGCAAATTTTGTAAATAAACACTAAAACTAAAACTTATGTTAAAAATCAATTTTAATTGCACAAAAACAAAATTCTATACAATTTTTACAATAAAATGACGTTTGTTATCAAGACAACGATGTCTAAACAATTGTTTAGACAACACTGTCATAACGACGTTATAACGCTAATAAATGCCGTCTGTACTAGGGTTCTATAAATCGGGTCGGAAAAACTCGAAAAAAGTCAAAAAATAGTCGGAAAAAAGTAGAAAGAAGTCGAAAATAGTCAAAAGTCGAAAAAATCGAAAAGTCGAAAAAATTCGGAAAAAGTCGAAAAAAGTCGAAAAGTCGAAAAAGTCGAAAAGTCGAAAAAAGTCGGAAAAAGTCGAAAAGTCGACTATTTATGAAATACTTATAGTCTAAAAGTCGACTTTTATTTAAATGAAAAAAGTCGAAAAGTCGAAAAATCGACTTTTCATAAAATGCAAAAAGTCGAAAAGTCGACTTTTAACTAAATGAAAAAAGTCGAAAAGTCGACTTTTCGTTTCAACTATAGAACCCTAGTCTGTACCTAATAATTTTTTATCATGATAACAATTTGACGTTTCGCATAATAAATATTTGTCTAATATAGACACGGGTTTACCTTGACATTGCCATATATGTATATTGACACGAACATTGGTATGAACACTGACATGACATTAACATATATATTAATATAAATAAATGAAATACTTTAACACCCATATTTAGGGACAATGACAGTAATAGAAAAATATAAAATTTATTAGTAAATATAGATATGATTTTACTGAAAAAATAATTGTAACAAAATTGTATTGCTTATTATTTATTTACATTAAAAATGAAAATTTTCACTTTAATAAAAAATACATACGAAAAAAGCAATATATAAATACTACTTTAATTTACAAATGTGCATTACAAAAAAACCCGCTAAATTATTTTTTTCAATCGACTTTGACAGCTCACTAAATGTAAACAAAAAAAAAAACTATTGGTGAAATTCCTAGAGTAAAAAAATAACTTAAAATGTTACAAACGGGCAAAATAAAAATACGGAATATTGAGGAGTTGCAAGCCGACAACATAACTTCGCCCAAAAATTGCCTAACCCCTTTAAGAAAGCGCAAAAATCCAAAATCTGCCTCAAAAACTAAACAATTAAACGTGAGTGAACATGATCATGCTAATGTTATTGTTGAGGAGAGAACAACAGCAAATTCTGACGCAACACTGACGAAAACAGCAATAAAAAAACTATTAAAAACTAGCATAAAAGAAACACCCTCCAATCAGAAACGTATTGATTCATACTTTACATCCTGCCCTAAAACTTACGAAATAAAACTGCCCAAAGAAGAGCCGCCCACACCGTTTGCTAAAACAAAATTAAAAACAACTGCAAAGAAGACTAATAAAAAAACTGCCGGTAAAAAAGGAAAATCTCCCAGGCGTCCAAAAGCCGGACGCAAACGCTTATTTAGCGAGAGCACAGAACCAACAAATGAGAGTATGTCGGATCTAAGTTCATTGAGGGGAACCACCAAAGTGCAAACCGAATGCATAACAATCAATTCGGATAGTGAAGACGATGAGATTAATGTGAAAAGTTCTAATCTTACTAAAGAAAACAGTCCTCCAGTTACTTTAACAACTCAAGCGGAAAATCCAGTTTCTGCTGCAACAACTGCGTCTGATAATACTTCAAATTCTCAACAATTTGCATCTTATACTGTAGCTTCTTCTTTAGATTTTGGCTTAAGAATGTCACATACGAGCTGTGGAAAGTCTACCTCTAGCAAAACCACCTCTGATGCCGTTAGTTTCTCCAAACGCAAACCAAAACCCTGTCCTCCCTACAAAATCATAGAAAATACCACATTTGCTGTGGATGCCTTTCAATTTGGTTACATCGAAAATGTAACGCATTATTTTCTTACACATTTTCATGCAGATCATTATATTGGCTTGACAAAATCTTTTGCCATGCCCCTATATATGAGTCCGATAACGGGTGAGTATTTACGAATTACTAATTGAAGTTATGTAGATAAGAACTAAATTTTATTTAGACGAAAATATTTTTAAGACGAAATTAGCTTAGCGCTCCTTATCAGTTAGGACCAGTATGATACGATGTTAAAAATAATGTTTGCAAAAAAATAAATATTTATAAATTTTTTTTATGTACATATGTAAATTAGGGTGACCCCAATTGTAAGGAGTAAAACTAACAAACACAAACAAACAAACTAACTAACTATTTGCATCTACTACTGTTTCTTTTAAGTGTGTAATACAATTAAAAATACCAATTTCCTTTTCCTTCCAGCTCGTCTATTACGTACCTTTATACCCGTCGAAGAGCAATACATCCATGTGCTGGAATTAAATAAACCCTATACGATAAATGACATTGAAATAACTGCACTTGATGCCAATCATTGTCCTGGTTCTATTTTAATAGTTTTTAAATTCCTCGATACCGGCAAATGTATACTACATACTGGTGATTTTCGAGCTTGGTTCGGCATGGAATCTGAGCCAATATTTTGGAATAATCAAATAGATACCATTTACTTGGATACCACTTATATATCCGATAAATATGCCTTCTGTACACAGTCAGAATCTATAGCTAAAGCTGAGCAATTAATAAAGGAATTCCAGAAGAAACATAAAGATAAACGTATACTCTACATATGCGGTTCGTATATTGTGGGCAAAGAGAAATTCTGGTCGAAACTAGCAGAAACATTTCAGTTAAAAGTATGGGCTGAAGGAAATCGATATAAGGCCCTGAAGGCCATGGAGGAAGAACAGTTTAATAACTTACTCGTAGAGGATGCACAGCAGGCCAACATGCATGTTATAGCCATGGGAAAGGTAACTTATTTGGTAAGCTTTTTTTGTTGAGAAAAAGGTGATTTTGGAAATATTTTAATATTTTTTGTTTTAAAGGAATTGGTGGACTATTTCAAATCATACGAAGAACAATACGATATACTACTCGCCATACGACCCAGTGGTTGGGAAAAGGATACTAAACCCCGTTATAGCAAAAAAATCAATATAGTAGGCATTGAATATTCCGAACATTCTAGCTATGCGGAAATGCAACGTTTTGTTAAGTTTCTAAAGCCCGAAAATGTAATAAGTACCGTACCTACGGGCAAAGATCTTATGAAGACAGCCAAGATACCATTAAACTGGTATAAATATGAACAATTGAAGATTTACAGAAGTTATCAGCCCACAATTGATAGTATTATGCAAAATAATAATAAAAGGACTTTGGGTAATATACGGCCACCTAATAGACATAAGGGGGGATTGGAATATTCTGTTTCACCTTTAAAGACGGTTACAAGCAAACAGCATGAAATTAATAATAATTTAACAACTGAAAAAGCAATTTCTTTGGTTTCTACTAATGCAACCGAAATGGAAGAACCATGTGCTATTGCAAATACACCAAATCAAGAAAATACTAATAATTTTGCAAACCAAACACCCGCCTTAAGTAAAACTACAACTTCAAAAATGTCATACAATTCATCGGAGTATTTTGAAACACCTGATTTGGCTATGGCAGCAAAAAGATTGCCCAAGAAAGAAAAAGCTGACCAGAAAGAAAAGGAAACTTCAACTAAAAGTAAGACACCAGTTTATACAACCAGAAAACTGCAACCTACTCATAAAGAACTTAAGGAGAAGGATACCAATAGTAGAGAGGAAAATACAACTAATAATTCATCAGAATATTTCATGCGTCGTTATATGAAAGATGTAATGAATCAAGAATTACCCAATACAAATAATAGCATTAAGAAGGATCAGAAACCGAATGGTAGTGTGATGTTAAATCAATCACTAAAGGAAGAAAATGATATTCAGCCAATAACATCAAACGGACAAACAAATTCCCAAACTTCTGCTAAGAAAATAGTACAAGAAGAACAGCAAATTGTGGAAAATAATATAATGCGAAAAAGAAACTTGAGATCAAAAGTTCTCTCGGATACGACAACTTCTTCATCTGAACAAAAAAATGATCCCAAACGAAACTCTCAAAAAAAGAAAATATTAAAACAGAAACCGACGCAAAAAACTACTCCAATAAAAAATAAAATCAAAAAAAATCCAATAATTAAATCAAGCTCCAGTATAATTTCAATAGATTCATTAACCGATGATGAATTGCAAACTACACAATTAAAAACTGTTCCGAAAACTGAAACTCCAGATCTGCAAGATAGCGATGACATAAAGACAACAATCTTTCCAATAAAAGAAGAATCGCCACATAGAAACTGTGAATTGCAAGACGATTTTCAATTGACTGAAGAATCACAAAATAGAAACAGTGAAATGGAAGAAGATTTTCAAACAACAAATCAACAACAACTAGAAACAGAAGCTGCTTATAACATAGATATCTACACTAATGGACAAACACCGAACACGGCTAAACAGCAGCAATATTCTTTAGAAAATCAATTTAAAATTTCACAAAATTCTAGATCTAGAATAAAAAGCGCCTCTTCTAGCAAAGCTACTACTTCAACGGAATCATGCGCTAAAGCAGACAAAGAATTTGAAGAAAAATTACAAAAAATATCTCAAAAAACTAATCAAATATCTCAACAAAAATCTTCTAAAAACTCTACAAAATATCTAAAGAGAAGAGCAGAAAATCCCATTTACAAATCCACCACCTCCATAGAATCACTTATAACAGATGAAGAATTGCAAACCATAAAAATATTACCGCCATTAAAAACCAACGAAACAAGCAGTGAAAGAAGCTCAGTTGAATTGGGTGGAGTAAGCAATATAAAGCGTTTAAAAAGATCAATAAGCTCCCAGCCAAACGCCTCAACGCCTTTTAAAAAATCTCACACTACCAGCAGTCTTAATACCGCGGCCATTTTAAATACAATACTAGAGTCAAATGAAGATCTTCAATTAGATAGATTTAACTGTTCACAATTGGCTGGTCAAATTGTGAATCATTTTAATCAACATAATCCGGATAATAGTAAGGATCATATACCGTCCGAGTTGCTCTCGGATGCCGATGATGACTGGATATGAAATCATGAAAATTAAAGAAAGAGAACTCATTTAAACTGTGATCAGTGGTTCTAGCTAAAAAAAAAACATTTTTGCTTTCATTGTTAAAGTCCATTGTTAGGAAAGCATTTTCTTTTTTTTTCGATAATTTCCAATAATTTTAAGTTAAATCTTAAAACGTTTATAACTATTTTTTGTTCCTTATGTAAGTGTATTAGTATAAGATCTCTTTTTTCTTAATTTTTTTTTATGTGTACATAAATTCAGCTATTAATCTGGTTTTTATATGAAATAAATAATATTTTTTAATGCTTTTTTATGGGGTTGTCTGTTTAATTATGAGCTAAAAACAAATTTAAAATGGTTTGTGACTTCGGTACTGTGAGTGTAGTTTTTATTTGTTTAAAAATAACGTTTTTATTAGAAAATACAGTTTTAACTTTAACTAAAATGGTTTGTGGTTTTGCTACTGACAAAACCCCATGATATGGCAACGCTTCTGTAGAAGGAAAGGAAATCATTAGACAGGGTTGCTAAATACGTAGAAACGCTGAAAGAAATTAAAGTGTATGAATTTTTGATTCATGATTTACTAACTCATTTATTTTATGGCGGCACTTATGTATATGAAAATTTTAGGTTTAATGAAAAAACGATATTTTTTATTAGAAGAAATATTTTTTTAACTCTAGCAAAAAATCAATACATTTTTTGTAAAAATTTCAAAATTTGTATAAAAATTTTTTTTTTGGAGAAATTAATTTTAGTAAAAAAACTTTTTTAGTAAAAATATTTCTTTTGTGAATTCATTTATTGTTTTGCGCTAAAATAATTTTTTAAAAAAATAATTTTGTAAAATTTTACTTCTTTAAGAAATTATTTTTTTTTTTTCGAAATTTTGCTTTGTTCTTATAAAAAAATGGATAATATTCGTTTTTTTTTGGTGAAAAATTCATTAGTGATTCAGTTAGTTAGTTAGTTAGTTAGTTAGTTAGTTAGTTAGTTAGTTAGTTAGTTAGTTAGTTAGTTAGTTAGTTAGTTAGTTAGTTAGTAGTTAGTTAGTTAGTTAGTTAGTTAGTTAGTTAGTTAGTTAGTTAGTAGTTAGTTAGTTAGTTAGTTAGTTAGTTAGTTAGTTAGTTAGTTAGTTAGTTAGTTAGTTAGTTAGTTAGTTAGTAGTTAGTTAGTTAGTTAGTTAGTTAGTTAGTTAGTTAGTTAGTTAGTAGTTAGTTAGTTAGTTAGTTAGTTAGTTAGTTAGTTAGTTAGTTAGTTAGTTAGTTAGTTAGTTAGTTAGTTAGTTAGTTAGTTAGTTAGTTAGTTAGTTAGTTAGTTAGTTAGTTAGTTAGTTAGTTAGTTAGTTAGTTAGTTAGTTAGTTAGTTAGTTAGTTAGTTAGTTAGTTAGTTAGTTAGTTAGTTAGTTAGTTAGTTAGTTAGTTAGTTAGTTAGTTAGTTAGTTAGTTAGTTAGTTAGTTAGTTAGTTAGTTAGTTAGTTAGTTAGTTAGTTAGTTAGTTAGTTAGTTAGTTAGTTAGTTAGTTAGTTAGTTAGTTAGTTAGTTAGTTAGTTAGTTAGTTAGTTAGTTAGTTAGTTAGTTAGTTAGTTAGTTAGTTAGTTAGTTAGTTAGTTAGTTAGTTAGTTAGTTAGTTAGTTAGTTAGTTAGTTAGTTAGTTAGTTAGTTAGTTAGTTAGTTAGTTAGTTAGTTAGTTAGTTAGTTAGTTAGTTAGTTAGTTAGTTAGTTAGTTAGTTAGTTAGTTAGTTAGTTAGTTAGTTAGTTAGTTAGTTAGTTAGTTAGTTAGTTAGTTAGTTAGTTAGTTAGTTAGTAGTTAGTTAGTTAGTTAGTTAGTTAGTTTGTTTGTTTAAATTATCTAATTAGATTCCTTAGAGGTAATTCTTTTTTTAAAAAGTCATAACTGGCAACCCTAGTACAAATAGTACACTTTTGTTACAACTATGCTGATAATAAATAGCGGTACTTATTGAATACTTTTAAAATTTCTTTCCTATTTACTAAATGTTTTTTAAACAACTATTAAACTTATGAACAAATTATATTCATTTAAATTTTTTAAAATAACATTTTCTCACAGAGCCTTTTATAACTAAAACAAAACACTCCTCAGTACTTAGGTAATATATTTTACTACTACCTTTTTTTACAACTCTTCATATTAACTTACTCAATTTTCATTTTAGTGAGAGGATGTGAGCAAAACAAATTACAGGTTAATTTTCGTGTATCTTTAGTTTAACGGGAGCTTTGGTCGTGTATAGACGTTTTTGGAAACTGAAGAAGTTTGAACGGAAGACAACAACAACAAACGCGTGCGATTTTTTTCTTGTAAATTGTGTTGCTTGTTTTTCTTGTCAAGTGTTGAAGAAATAAAAACGAAGTGTTTGTAAAATATTTTACACTAAAAAAAGCAAAGAATTTATGTAAAATAAAGGAAATTTTATAAAAAATAAAGTTTTTATTGAAAAAGAAAAACTGGTTAAAAAGTGGAATCTAATAATAAAGAAAACCTTTAAAGAAAATTGGTAAAGTTATGGAAAGAAAAAAGTGCTAAAATTTGTAAATTTGTGGAAAAAAATTGGAATAAAATAATTGAAATGGTGTTAGATTTTTGTTAATGGTTGCTGCTGCTGATGTTAAGCGAGTTGTTTGTAAAGTTTTTTGTTGTTGTTGTAGTTAGTATTTTTACCGCTAATGTTCATAGTTGTAATTGTGGTTGTTGTTGCTAATGTTTTTTTGTGGCAACTTTAAAGAGTTTAGTTGCCTTTTTTAGCCGCATATTTTGCTGGTTTTTTATACTTTTTTTTTGTACAATTTTAGTTGTTTGGTCGTTTTGGCCTGCCATTCTTTAATAGATTTTCTTCTTCGTTTTCTTGTATATGTTTTATTTATTTCATTTGTGTGCTGTTTGTTCCAAGAGTGTTTTTCTGGTTGTTGTCTGTTGGATTTTGTTATTGTTGCTTTTTTCTATTTTGTATGCCTTGTTGTCTATTTTAAACAACAACTAACAGATTCCATAGAGTTTTTGTTGTAGTTGATGTCTAACTTTGTTTTAACGAAAAAAATAGACAGAAAATTCAAACAGCAATAACAACAACAACGACATCGTTTATAATAACAACCTGAAGAATAATCATAATAGTAGTAAATGGGGAGAGAAGTAAGAATGAAACAATAACAACAACAACTGCTAGTTTATTTTCTGTTTTGGTCAATTCTAGAGTTGCCAGGATGTGGATGTAAAGGAATTTTAACGGAGTTTTGATAAATTAAACAAATTTTTGAAAGAATAAATAAAGATAAAGTGAATTATTTGAGAAATTAATACAATTCTAGAGAAGTATTAATTATAAATTAATATTAACATAAGGATTTTTGTAAAAATTAAGGAAAACATTAATTTTGTTTAAAAATTTCTAAACCTTAAGAGATTTTTAATTAACTGTATTTTAAATAAATCTTTGAATTGAAAATTATTTCAATTAAATTAAATTTTTTCCTCAAATTTTTACATCAAATTTAAATTTTACCAAAAAATCTACCCATTTTTGTTTAAATCCCTAAAAGGACTTTATTTTCTTAAGGCACGACAACTCTAGATTAATACGCCTTTAATTTAGTTTCAATCCATCAATAATAAAAGTCATAAATTTCATTAAAATGTGTATAATAAAGCAGCAGCCATCATAATTTATAAATGAAATAAAATTTACATTTTATTTAAATGTAAATTATTATTTTCAATAAAAAGTGAATGTTTTAATAATTATTATTTCCTAGAGGGATTTTAACGACAAAACATAAATACTGTATAAATTTAAAGATTTTTTTTAAATAATAAAAACGACAACTCCATACAGTTTGAAAACGAAAACTACTTTTTCTTAATAAACCAACAGCTAATAAAATATTAAAATATTTTATGAAAATCCATTAAAAAAACAGTTACAAAAGGTAAGTTAATAAAAATTTTCTTTATTTATTTGCATATTTTCATAATTTTCTTTTACTTTTGCTGGGTATTTCCTGTTTTTGTTTTCAGCTAATAGAAAATTTTCTTTCATTATTAAACTTTATTGTTAGTTTTGTTTTAACTAATTCTCTTGAGATTTGTTTTTATTGTGTTTTATTCTCTTATTTTTTTTTTTGTTTTTTCTTAAACAAATTCTGTGTGTTGTTGTTATTGCTGCTGTTACTACACTAGACAACAGGTATTCTGTTGGGAGTGTTGTGTGTCATCATTTGTTTGTGCCATTTTTTTGTTTTTGTTTTTGTTTTGTTTTGTTTGTTTTTTTTTTTTTTTTTGACAAAACCTGCCAAAAGACTAGTAGTAGTGTTATCGTATCAATTGCACAATATTGCTTAAGTCAATTATTGTGCTCAGGGGTGTTACCATATTGTGTGGCCATTTGTTTAGGTATGTCGGTTTTTTTTTTTTACAAAGGGAGTTAAGGAATTTTTGTGTTTTTAAACAGTTTTCTTTAAAAAACGATAAATTTTGTAATAAATTAAGAAAATTTAGAGATAATACTTTAAAATGAAATAAATTATATAATTTTTTTTATAGAAAATTGAAGTATTTTTTGGTTAAATTGAATTATAAATAGTTTTTTTTTTTTTTTTGTGAAAGAAAACTGTTATACTGAAAGTTTTCCTCTATAATTAACTTTTATATGAAATATTGTTTAGGAAAACTGTTATACAATTACAATTAGAGTTTTATAACAAAAGACTTTTATACAGTATATTGTTTCATAGGGAAAACTGTTATATAGCATTTATTCTACAAAATTTATAAAGAGAATCTATAATACTGAACTTTTTTATATAGAAGGAAGTTTTATATATAATATTTGCTGTAGAAACAAAACAGTTTTACAGATTTTTTTTATTGAAAAACTGTTATACTGAAAGTTTTTGTTTAGAAAATCTGTCATACAATTAAAGTTTTGTAAAAAAAGACTATTATATAGAATGTTTTTCTCTAAAAGAAATAGATATACTGACAATTTTCCAGTATATTGGCAGTTTTACAGAATTTTTTTTTTATAGAAAAACCGTTATACTGAAAGTTTTTCTATACAATTAACTTTTTTATGGAATTTTGTTTAGAAAAACTGTTATACATTTCAAGTTTTGTAAAAAAAGACTGTTATATAGAATTTTTTCTATAAAAGAAACAGATATACAGACAAATTTGAAAAGAAAAACTGTAATACTGAACTTTTTTATATAGAAGTAAGTGTTATACAGAATATTTGCTGTAGAAAAAAAACATTTTTACAGAATTTTTTTATTAGAAAAACTGTTATAC